GTCTTGGGATTGAGCCCTGCATTGGGCTCCCTGCTCAGCAGGAAGCCTGCTTCTCCCTCTGCCTGTGGTTCCCCCTGCTTGTGCGCGCTCTCTGACAAATAAATAAAATCCTTAAAAAAATGTTAAGTTTCCTTGAGCAAAAATCAGTTGGAATCAGGCAGTATCCAGTGGAGCAGACAGTAAGGCTCTCTGAGGAGCTGTTACAGGCAGGAGACAGCAGGAGCCGGAAGTTATACCAGGCACACAAGCAGGTTGGCTACTGCAAGGCCACCTCCCTTTAGGGGACGACAGGGGTCTGACAGGCACATCACCTGGCTAGTGCTGATTAGACTATTCCTGATTGACTGGTTTAGGATTCCATTTCTGGGAGCGGCGAAATTGTCGTCCAAGTCGCGGTGTGGTGACATGGAACTTAGCTTAAACACTTCCATTTTGGGCCTGTTGTCCTGTTTTTTGACGGTCACATGGCCAGCCCAGAATTACTGGCTGGGTCAGAGGGGGTGGTTCTCTGCTCAGCCCCCGCAGCCTCCCGTTCCCATCTGGAAACCTCAGCGCGGAGGTGGAAGCTGGGTGGGCTGTGAGCCGGTCTACCACGGCTCTTGCTGCTTTGAAACTTGGTGGCTGACCCTCAGCGGGTTTAGCCCGGGACTCCTTTCCTTCCTCCCCAGTCACTCCCTCCAGGATCGTGTGGGAGCCCGTGTGGGGCAGGCTTGAACCTGATGGATGCTGGCAAGGACCATGGGAAGCCGCTCCCTTGGTTCGGTTACTTTCTGTGGGGCTCCCTCTCAGCCGACTGGAGATTGTCCTCACGGGTTTGATGGACTAAGCTGCCATCTTGAGGGAGCCCATGTGGGCGGCCTCTGGATTTACAAGCGGCTTCCAGCTGTTGGCCCACAAAACCTGGGCCCCGCACTCAGGACAGAGGACAGAGGGGAGATGCGGGAGGTCGGCAGGGGTCGGGACTCACAGTCCATGTGTAAAATCCTCTTATCGTCCTCATGCAGGGAAGCGAAACAGGCTACTTGAGAACGGAGAGGTCTTCCCTGATTCTGCATCCGGGCCCCACACCAGATTCAGAGGCTGCGAACACGGAGGGCGGGGGCCCTGCAGGGCCATGGGCAGGCTTGTCTGTACTCACTGTGAGCGACATCAGAAACTCTGAGGGAGAACATGGTGGAGGTGGGAGTGGGAGTTCTCTGTGTAGGCCCTGCAGCCCAGCTGGGAAGGCCTCCTGGCAGAGGTGGAGGCAGAGGCCTTCCCGAGGGGCCTGAGGTCGGAGAAGATGGCGCCACCGTGCCCTTGACCTCTGCAGCACTCCTGGCCGCTCCACATGTGGTGGTGGCTGCCAAGCTTCCCCTTGCCTTCTCTGTGCTCAGAGTCCCCCATTTCCAAGTACTTCCTTCCCAGGAAATGGGAATTCTTCTCCTTGTCTTGCTGACTTGAGATCTAAGCTCCTGGCCCCCCACACCTGAGAAGTGAGGGGTTCTCTCTCTTTGCAGCCATTTCCATAATTTGCTGACCATGTCCCAAAGGCAAGCAGCTGTTTCCTCCTATTTCCCAGGGGTGCCTCCCTCTGAGGGAGAGACTAGAACTTTCCTGAGAAAGTGTTAATTCAAAGAAGCAAATGGGCTCAGTCTGTCCCCCAAGAGTGTTAACAGCGGCAGCCCAGAGGCTGGCCAGCTAAGGCAGGAGCGTGCGGTCAGGCAGTGCAGGTCAGGCAAGGCAGTGGTGGGACCATGCTGACTGCTGGTTTATGGGGCGGTGAGTAGGGGTGCCTGCTCCTCCCACAGTCTGAGAGCCAAGGTGTGCCCTGTCCCAATCCACGGAGCAAGCTCATTGGTCGGGGAGACGGTGAAGATGCTTCTGAGACACAACTGGGTCCCTGGCCATGTGAAGCTACTAGAAAGCAGAGAAGAGACATGCCAGAGCGCCATGCTCCTCAAGGTAGATGACACAGCTAGCGTGAAGCCTCAGGAGCCAGGTTTTAGATGTGGACACCCGTCTCCTCTGCACGGACAGGTGCGCCTTCATTCAGCCGGCCATCTTCGAAGCTACTACCTCCAGACCGTGAAGGGAGCGCAGAGAGAGAAAGGCAATGCCCCATTGCAAGTCCCAATCCAGACCTACAGAATCTCCCCATGTCAGTTGAAAGGGGCATGGTGGCAGCTCAAGGTTTTCTGCAAAGATCTGCCTGCTACCACGAAAGATGTTTGGAAAGGACTGCCAAAGGTGTTTAAGAGCAGTTTCATGTTGGAATTTAAAAAATGGCACTTCATCAAGAAGCAATCTACCCCAACATTCAAGTGTTTTCTAGGTCTTTTCAGGTATCTTGCAAGTGGGGGTAGTGGCGGGTGTCACAGTGGCCTCAGAGGAAGGACTTCAACATGCAATTGATGACCCAAGTCTTTTCCAAATGGGCTTATTGGAAAAGCATGCTGGGCAGTGACCAAAAAGGTAGCCTGCAGAATGGATTTCTCTCCCAGGGTGAGAGAGACCCAAGGGATTATCTCAGGTTTCTACCCAGAGGGGTCTGTGGTTACTGGATTTGCCCCACAGGTGATTCCACACCGGAACCTGGCTGGAAACCTCCGAGGGCCTAGGGTGTCAGGAGTGCAGACACCTGTGAGGGCTGCGGGCTCAGTGAGAAGGGCCCTGAAAATGTGGGACTACTTCACTCTCCCCAAAACAGCTGGATTTTCAGAAGGGGTGAGAAGTTGGGGAAACCCAACGTGGAAAGAGGATAGGACTGGACTGGCTTCCCACCCCTCCCCTCGGACAAATAACAAAGCACTTGGCAAACTCAAATTGATGCTTGCTTTGTAAAGTTTATTGACAACTGTTTGGTCCCAACACACAAAACAGCACTTGAACCACAAAAAAAGTGTTCAAACAAAGTAGACAGTTAAGAAAAAACATCTCTTCCCCCAAGCCCAATCCGAAACAAACAGTGCAAGATGGGAAAGGGGGTTGTGGTGATAACTTTTTATCTTTTTTTTTTTCTTTAAACAGATATATCTAATCTGGTACATCTTTCCACCCAGAAATAAAGAATTTCTTTGTCTTAATTCTCATACATCATTTCATCACATCATTTAATTAAAGCCTCTGGATAAAAAAATAGATAGCAATCAGACTGGCCGTTGTGGAGTACATCACGGACACAACGAGCTCACGCTGTATTTATTCTCGTATCTTCCAACAGCGACGGCTGGTCACACACGCGTCCCAGACTGGCTGGCGACTCCGGCGAACGGCTGGGTTCGACCACGTTCCTGGGACAGCATGAGCCCGCGGGCTCCTCTCTGCTGCCCAAAGAAGCTGCTGAGACTGTTCCTCGTGACTTGTAATGGTACCTCTGCTGTTCTTAAAGTCGATCCCGCCTAGGCGAGCAAAACTAAAGTCCGAGAGTGCAAACTCAGCCTTAAGGAGTCTCAGGATAAGGCCACTGAGGTTCTCGACACCAACTTTCTCACACTGGTTAAAAGCTTCTTAAAAAAAAAAAAAAAAAAAAAATTGCTCATCTGCATTTGACTTCTTGCCGTACTATGTCTGTAGGACAAATGCCTTCATTCTGGAAAGGCTTCGCAGAGGGCCGTACTGCTTGCAAGGCTTTTCCAGGGTCGTTCCATCTCGGCTGGGGCCACGTCTGGAGAACTGGGAACCACTGGATTCATTTTAAAGATTTTGGGGAACAAAAACCCGACTTGTAGAAATCTCTCTGGAGCCCTTGTTTTGTGGCATTTTATAAAAATGCTGGCTATGAAATCAGAGCCCATTTTCTGGCTTTCTAGAAATTACAAAATACAAACATTTCCCCAAAAGAAACCATCTCAGTAGTGGAAGACCTTATGCCCACAGGTTCTTTCTGCTCTATGAATGAATCCGCCTTTTTGCCCAACAAATACAACCCATTGTAAATGTCAGGTTTCTCCAGGAGGGGTGAGAGACCACCCGTCACCTCAAGGCGAAGGTCATTCCACAGGGCAGTGCTCTCTCAAAGGCTGGCTTTTCCCAAATGCCAACATCAGACACCACAAAAACCCAAACATGCTTCCAACAGAGAGAAGTAACAGTAAAAGCAGACACTATTAAAACACACTGAGCGCCCCCCCCACACACTCACACATAAAGCTTCCCAGCTACCAAAACCAGGTTTAAAATTACAAATACAAGGTTAAGATGATCAACCTTGGCCTTCACACGTATAGATAGAATTTCTGTCTCTTCCTAGTGGAAAGAGTATCGATATCGCTCCGGTTAAAGCACCTCGCCCCTCAGCTCTGATTTGTAATTTATGCATTTCATGCATATTTTAGAAAATCAGACTCTCTTCCCAACATTGCCCCTCAACACACAGTACTGTGTGCTGGAATTCAAATGCTAACTTTAAATTCATGACATCAAGACCATTTCCTTTTCCTTAACCTAATCCGCATCACACTGGAACGTAACATAAAAGGGAAGCTTAAAACATCCTCAACTGTCTAGAAAGCTCCTACATGGCACCCCGAAGTGGAAGCAGGATTAAAAAAAAAAAAAACATCTGTGATGAAGCCACATTCGTCAACTACAGACATAGCTCAATAAAACAAACAAGGCACGCTTACAAGTCACATGGAAGCCAGGAAGCTTCATATCCAACCCGGAAACACATTCTCCCCGCCTCGCCTGCCCTTCTGCTTCCGCATGAGAACACACAGGGCCGCAGAGCAGGCTCTGTGCTATCACACGCCATGCACTTGATCTGCACCGTCTGGAAACATCAGTACACAAAGGCTGAGAGGCTATCTTAGGCTACATGTAAGATCCAACCACGGATGTGGCTTGAATGGCAGTAAAACCACTCCCTTCCAGCTGAGTTCTCACCACTTTCTCTTTACACAACACCATCACATGCTAATTAAGAAAAATTTGGTAAGATGTATTGAGGATTTCTTAACAACTGCCAGGAAGGTTTTTTGGGGGGGATTTTGTTTTTTGTGGTTTTTTTTTTGGTTTGCTTTTTCCAAAAAATTGGGGGAGGGAAAAAAAAGAAAGAAACACTTCAGCTTTAAAGCTGTGTTCAACGTCAAAGAAACCAAACGTTATGGGATAAATCTGATAAGAAATTGGCTTCTAGGGGGTTTGCATTCAAACGGAAAAGGCTGTGTTTTCTGAACCCACTTTTGTGTGCAGAATCAGACAGTGTTTCCCCATCCTAATTCTATGTTCAAAACGCGAGTCAAAGCTTGGTTATAGGAGCAAAGGAAAAATTGGCTGCCAATTTTACTCTATTTTTGGGTTGCTTTTTGGCTGGGCTTTCCATGGGGTCCTTGCTGGGCAGTGACTCTGAGGTTTCCGAGGAGGGGCAGGGAGGCACCAGGACAGCTGCAGAGATGCCAGAGGAGCTGGAGTCCGAGGCTGGGTTGTTACTCTTTACTGGTACTGGAATTTCAATTTTCTCTTCTTGGTTTAAAATCATAATTTCTGTAAACACCAAAGAGCAAACACATTCAGTTCTAAGACCTGCAAGATATGTGGGGTCTTAGTTTCTCTCTTGTCTCATCTCAAAAAGTATTTTTAAAATCACCCACCAAACATCACGCCCATGCCGCAACTTCGTTATCAGCTATGTGGCCAACGAGTCACGTGAGTCCGGTATTTATACATAAAACCGCACTTTAGCTCACTCTCCCTTGGATTACAAAGTTCTAGAAAGCTATAACTCAATGGGCAATGGTGTAGACATTTTTACCCCCAGTTTGGATTCTCTGCCCATTCACTCGCTCTGTCAGGTAGTTAAAGACCTTTGAGCCTCATGGGACCTAACGACTTTTCCCACGAGGAGGGGCCTCAGTGTCAGGAAGCCCCGGGCCCATTCCACTGACTGAGGGCTGTGCCCTGCATGGATCTAAGGTGGGCAGACAGGGAGAGAAGTGCACAGAGGCAGAATTAGCATGAAATATTCAGGCAGTGAAACACGGCCATTTTTCCTGCAGTGTTTACAGGCTGCTCTTTCTCTGGCCGAGCTCCGCGTACACAGGGGGCCGCTTTTGCTTCCACGAGATGTACTGCAGCTCAGACTCCCAGTGTGTGTGCATGTGCAGGGGGCCCTCGCACCAGAGGCGCAGAGAGGCCCGAGTGATGGAGGGGGTGCGGAGCCCCAGCTCCCTTCTCAGGCCGGCATGCAGGAGCATGGCACACAGAGCTGCCCACGCCATTCGGCGTCTCTCTGTGGACCCACACATCTGCTTGAACTCGCGCAGACTAAATGCACTGCAGCTGCAACCCCACAGGCGCGCTGCTATCCATCTCACGCCGGCTCCTGTTGTCCCTCCCAGAGGAGCACACCCCTGCTTCTGTCACACACTGCATCTCCCAGTGGCAGAAGCCACGTATATGTTTCCCTACCTCCTATTCTCCAGATAAAGAGCCTCAGTTCCCTCACTGGGCATCATGAGGCTGCCCCTGGATTCCCCCTGGAACGGTAAGTGGAGTGGAGAAGCACCCACTGTGAGAGACAAAGGGGAAAGGCCTCGACAAAGCAGATGGCCACCTCTCCGGAGGCCAGGTGACACAACAGCAAGACAAGAGGCTTGGGGTTCAAATCCCAGCTCAGACACTTCCCAGTCCGGCAACCTGGGGCTAGTGTGGTTCCTGGTCTGTCACCCATCCTGCAGGGCTGCGGTGAGGAGATGCGAGTGAGGAGGAGATTCGAGCAGGCCAGGAGCCGCCTCCCACCGCAACCCTCACCCCCCAGGTCAGTGCTGGCTGCAGCCAGCTTCCTGTCCCTTCTCAGCCCACCGTGCAGGGTCCAGAGCTTAAGTCACAGACGGCCTTCCCTCTCCTGCTCATACCATCATGAGGCCCCAACCCAGGGCCATCATTCACCTGTAGGCCAGACCAGAGCTGCCGTGCATGCATGTGGGCCACCAGGTGTACCCGCGAGCAGCTGCACCTTTACAAAGGCGGGCAACACAAGCCCAGGAAGCCTCCGTGGGCTTCTCCACGGCCCAGCTGCGTCATCCCTCCAGATGCACCATCGTTCCTGGGCTTGGGGCTCCCCAAGCCTCCCTGGGCTATGAACCCAACTCTGCAGGAAGACCGACCGGAAAAGAGGGTCCTAATAATCAGTGTAGGTATTCTTGTGCCTGAAAATACGGTTTCTCCCCACCTCCGTCAAACCTTTACCATACAGGCATTGTGCTTTGATTTTTTAACCCAGAGAGAAAAACCTCACGACCGCACAGCGCATCCTACCAGAACACTCCTGAGGGTGTTCCTCAAACTGAATGAGATCAGCAGACTGGAGGACGACAGGATCCGGTCTCAGCTGTGGGGACGGCAGGCACGAAGGGACGGGTGCACACAGAAGGTCCACAGGGGAGTCACTGGTCAGGCGGAGAAGCTCCTGCTCTGTCTGGTGGGGCCCTGGACAGAGAAGGCAGGCTGGGGCTCAACTCAGGACAGCAGTCTACCACGAGTCTGTGCCTGAGGCTTTCTTTCTCAGCCTTCAAGATGAAAAAGGCCAGGAAGTACTCCAGAACACAATGTTAACAATGAGGACAACAACAACAACGACAACAATAACAAAGCCATTAAGGGAAAGGTCTGGGTCAGTCTTTGGTAAATTAAGTGACAACAATAACAAAGCCATTAAGGGAAAGGTCTGGGTCACTCTTTGGTAAATGAAGTGCCACAAGTCAGGCTCTCCAGATTTGTGTTCAGAAATAGCAATGCCCCAAGGGGCCACACAAACACCAAAAAAGGCTCCACAATCGGGGGAGGGGAAAGTAAGTCCTTAGAAGAGGTATAAAGTAGTTAAAATGAGCAAAAGCTAGACCCCGGTTCTGTCACTCCCTTACTAAATGATTCTGGGTAAGCTTTTTTTTTTTTTTTAAAGATTTTATTTATTTATTTGACAGAGAAAGACACAGTGAGAGAGAAAACACAAGCAGGGGCAGTGGGATAAACATGCTTCCCGCTGAGCAGGGAGCCTGATGATGCAGAATTCGATCCCATGACCTTGGGACTAAAGGCAGACACCCAACTACTGAGCCACACAGGAGCCCCTTGGGTAAGCTCTTTAACCTCCCAGAACTTGGGTCCCTTATATTCAGAGACTGGTGGTAACCTCCCTGCAGGCTGTGCTGACAGCTGACAATAGGAATGGGAGTTCCCTTCCCATGCTTTATAAAACGTGTAATGTGTCCTCCACACAAAGGTCACAGCAATGCTTCCAATAGCGACTTCCAGAGTCATACAAAGATAAAAGTCTCATATGCAGCAATGGATTCAAACGTCTTTTAGTAAAGTTACAATTGCTACAGAGCTCAAGCTAGTCAATTTCTACCTACAGAGGAAGCTCCACATAAAATCTGAGTGGATCAATGTTGTTTTGAGGATTATTAATGCATTATTACCAAGTCTTTCTCAGGAAGGCCCTCTGACAAAGACTCTCTCCATCCAACTTGAGCCTGGCCCTTTGAGCCCTCTTCACGAGGCCTCGACCTTGGCCTTCCATGTCTGTCTGGTCCTTACCGAGCCCAGTCTTGGCAAGCATCTTGGAAGTCAGTTCTGTGAGAACTCCGCACCCCTGCTCTCCGACCAAGGCCCTCAGTCCTCCACCTCTGAGGTCTTCTCCTAGTGATGTGACCCCCCCACACCGACCCCGCTCTGCTCCTTAACTAAAACATCCCTGTCCATCCTCGTACTCAGAATTAACTTCCATCTCCCTCCTTGGGTGCAGCAGAGTTCACCCAATCGCAATAGTCTTAAAATACTATTTTAGCAAATGTTGGAAAAATTTTTTCCTCTTAAGTCTGAACTGGGCTGACATATTGTCATTACAGAGGTGTCAACAGACTTCAAGAACCTGAACCATAAAATGCTATGAAGTGCAGGCTCGTTTTTCTGTTACCAATCAAACACAAGACTGCTTTGGAGAATATACGAAGACGGCTCACTGTGGTCCTTGCCCCCACCCACTCCCCAGCCCACACCCAACCAGTTCTCCAAGAACTTCACAAGCTTGGCTGTGTTGTGCCTTGCTTACCATCGCTGCCTGCTCCGAGTTCAAGTTCCATAGCTGTGCCAGATTCAGGCACCACTGAGATGTGCTCTGTGGCCAAGGGCTGGTTTTCAGAATGGGTGGGGGCAAGCCCGAGGGAACTCAATCGACCTGGGGGACCAAGAGCAGCCGTCAGAGGGAAAAGTCAGTGGGAGAACCGGGATTTCTGAAGCAGGGAGGGGATGGGTGCTTACTTACATTTCATGTCATTTTTTAACACTACAATTCTCTTATGACCATGTCCTTTTATCCAGACCACCTGCATACAAGACATACTACTGGTTAAGCAGTGGAAAAGGAGGGGAAATAAGCCCTAAGTCCAGGAAGAATGGGACCTGTTGCGCTGACCCTAGAGATCTTAGAAGTCAGAAACTAACGTCAAGGAAAATTTTTCTATACTTTCTTTAGCTTTTAAAGTAACAGAAGCTGGCAGAGACATGCACCTTGTAAGAAAACATGGAGTCTAAAAATGATGAGACTCAGCTTTAAAAATATTCTTTAGGGCTCTCAGAAAGACCATCTCCCCAACACCACTTCTGGTCTATTAAAGGAGACAGTTCTCACACAAGAGTCCTTCCTATTTCCTCCAGAAACTAAATATACCCTAAGAGAATTAATGGGGACGTTCCAGACCCCCCAAACTAAGCTCCTGGTCCTAATCCTGAAACAGAGTCCTCGCTCCGCCTCCTCAGCGAAGCCAAGAGTGGCAGCGGAGGCCCCCGGCTCCCAGCACCCCCACATGCGTCAGCACCGAGTCCGGATCTCAGCCTCCCTGGGTCCTTCGCTGCCTCCTGCAATATTTTCACGCAGGTTCGGTCTCGTTATCACTCTCACCTGGGCTCCGGCCACGTCCAGGGTCCTCACCAAGCTCCCTCCTCCCTTCCTGCTACTCTGGACACAGCACTGACACTGGTGCTTTCACACACAAACCCGAGGCTCTCTGCTTCTCTCCTCCAGGTCCTTCTGCTCACCCGGAGGAGCAAGGCCTTCCCCAAGTGAGCTCTCACTACACTGGTAGGCCTCCGCCTGGTTTTTAATGCCCTCAACGTTCCACACTACTTGTCACTGCTTTGCATCTGCTTTTCCAATCCCCTCTGCCCAGACCATCCCATCTTCGTCACGTAGTTCACATCTATAAATCCTTGACATCTGGGCTCTAGAATGAACCCGGAGCCTGGGCGGGGCCCTGCCTGTGCCCCTCCTTGGGGTACCCACGGATGGCTGATCACACTGCCTCGTCACCTGCCAGGTGCCCCGACTCTCCATCGCCTGACACCTTTCTGAGGAAAGGGGCTGCAACTTACTCACCTGGCATATACGCATTTAATAAAGGCTTGTAGAACCTAGGAGAAATGCTAGCATCATCCCTTTAATGCCAACAGTATGTCTTTCAAAATGCCTGCCATGTCATTACCGTGGCAGCATTTGCCGACTGTGTTCAGGAGAGTGACCCTGGGGCTCTCCCGGAAGACCCCCTCCAGGCTCCAGGAACACCCACCTGCGGGATTGCTCCCAAGAGCTCCTCCACGCTGCTGCAGCCATACGTCTCGGGCTGCAGGGTTTCTCCGACGTATTTGGTATAGGCCACGGAAAACTCATGGAGAAAAAGCTGCTGGTAGTGGTACGTATGAAGTAAAGAGCGCACGTTCTTGGCAAACAAGTACAGGCTGGTAAGCCTCACACACTCCTCTGTCTTATCATTGGTGAAAACCTGGTCCGAGAGAAAAACACAGCATTAGAGATTTCCAGAGTGGTGCGCCTGCAGGGGTCTCAGCAGGTTGAGCGTCTGTCTTTGGCTCAGGTCATGATCTCAGGGTCCTGGGATGGAGCCCTGTGTCTGGCTCCCCTGCTCAGCGGGGAGTCTGCTTCTCCCTCTGCCTCTGCCCCTTCTTGTCCTCTCTCTCACACGCGCGCTCTCTCTCCCTCTCTCTCTCTCTGACAAATAACTAAAATCTTAAAAAAAAAAAAAAAAAAAAAACTTCCAGAGTGACTGGTTTTGCCCCACTGGGGAGTCCCGGCCTCCTGCTGAGAGTGAAAAGGCACCAAATCAACCTGAAAATGGCCACTGAGCCTGGGAGGAGGGGGGAGCCCATTCAAGGATCTCCGCCCACAGCAAGTGCTGCCTTAGAGCAAACTACAGTTTTCGCTGTGTGTCTCAGATGGCTGAGGTCTGGGGAAACAGCGTGTCAGAAAGGAAGGAAACTGGCAGATGTGCGGTCTCAAACAAAAGGAGACCGTAAGGAGGGGAGGCAAACCCCCAGAGTGAGAGGACTGCATCAGACAGCAGGGACTGAGGCCAATGAACCCCCTCGCCCAAAGTGGGGATCCCAGGAACTCTGTGCTACAGGATGACATCAGTCTTCTTTAAAAAAAGGATGGGGGGGGGGTCGTGGTTAGTAAAGAAGAAACCCTAAAGCTCTTCTGTCCTCAAGTAAACAAATTTCTTTACCATAAACCTTTCCAGACACCTGTTTTCGCTGTGTGTCTCGGGTGTGTGCACGGATAATCTCCAAGGGAAGGGGTATTTCCCCCCAAGCTGGCCATAGAAAGCCTTCTGTCTTGGGTTATCCGTTCATGCTGCCTAGAACCACTATTCACATAACAGATAATCAACAGAGTTTTCAAAATGTTGGATGTGATGCTGTTTTTTTTTTTAAAAAGATTTTATTTATTTGACAGAGAGATACAGAGAAAGAGGGAACAGGGGGAGTGGGAGAGAGTGGGAGAAGGAGAAGCAGGCTTCCTGCGGAGCAGGGAGCCCAATGTGGAGCTTGATCCCAGAACCCTGGGATCATGACCTGAGCCAAAGGCAGATGCTCAACCACTGAGCCACCCAAGCGCCCCTGTTGGATGTGATATTATGAGGACAAACCAGAGCTGGACAGTAAAGGTGGAAAACAGTTTTTATTCAAGAACAATCCCCAATAAAAGGAAAGATCCTCAGTGCAGAATTGGGCTCCAACAAAAAGAAGTGAAGATTTATAGCTGGTGGAGGGCTGGCGGGTGACGGTGCACGGAAAATTACCAAGACATCCAAGGTCGTGGTCTAGTCTAGAAGGCGGCTCCCAGGAGCCTGGCCTGAGTATGGCTAAGGAGAGAGTTTCTGTCAATATCTCTCAATTATTTAGTTATCCATTATATGGTTATATGGTAACAATGGGGGAACACACTTCTCCTACATTGCTAGACTTTACTGGTTAATACCCTATTTAGAACCACTATCTTTTGGAGGACTGTATTAGTTAGGTTTTCGGTATTAAAGTTGCTTTGGATTCATAAAATTAAGTGGTGAGGTTTGTTTCTTTTGTCTTTTTGTTTTGCTTTTAACATGGCCTAAATGGTTTTTAGGAAGCTGCGAGTTATTCTTCAAAGTTAGTTAGTTAGTTAAAAATCCAACCGTTAACCTAACTGGTCCCGGTGTCTTTTTCATTGGTAAAATTTCAATGATCTTAGAGCCTCCTTTGTGGTAACTGGTCAAAAATTTTTTTCAAAGATTTTATTTAGGGGCACCTGGGGGACTCAGTCAGTTAAGTGTCTGCCTTCAGCTCAGGTCATGATCCCAGGGTCCTGGGATCAAGTCCCACATCAGGCTCCCAGCTCAGCGGGGAGTGTGCTTCTCCCTCTCACTCTGCCTGCTACTGCCCCAGCTTGTGCTATCTCCCTCTCTGCATCAAATAAATATTTTATCTACTTGAGAGACAGAGAGAGAAAGATCATGAGCATGGGGGAGGGGTAGAGGGAGAAGTAGACTCCCCACTGAGTAGAGAGTGTGATGCGGGGCTCAATCCCAGGACCCGGGGATCATGACCTGAGTTGAGCCAGAGGTTGATGCTTAACAGACTGAGCCACCCAGGTGCCCTAGCTGGTATAATTTTTCACTTCTTGGGTCAATTTTGTTAATTTGGCGGGGAGGGGGGTGCTTATCTACATCTGTAATATTCTTCTGTGATTCTTCTCATCTTAAGTGCTATTCTTAAAGTCTACCCGGGTGACCAGCTTTCCCTTCTGACCCGTGTCTGACTGACGACAGCCCCCCACCCCGCCCACACACCATCCATCTCGTCAGAAAGTGCTAACAGTAGCCAACTGCAGCCTGGCATAGCACGAAAGCACCCTAGCTCAGGACTTAGGAGGCCAGGGCTTCCCCCTTATCTGGGCACTCAACTGGGCAAGGTGCCTGCACCCCTGCCCTGCCTCGTATGTTCAACCACAGAACAGCTGACTGCTCCTTCCCCGCTCTACAGCCTCCAAGCCAGACCATCAGGGGACCCCGGAGCAGTTCAGCAGACCTCAGGAAGACAGCTCTACAGAACCATTAGCACTCATACCTCCACTAAGTAGGGCAGACTCTTCAGAAGTTCGGTCAAGGTCATGAATCCGTATTCACAGGGGTTGAGGGGAACACTGTGGGTGGTTTCGTAATGTTTCTTGAGCTCATCGACAGAAAGGTGGGCAGCTCCTTCCCAAGACATCAGCAACACCAGCAGCTGGGCAGTGAGGGCACGCAGGGACTTGCGGTTGATCAGCTGGATCTGTTTGCCCGACTCCATGTCGGCAATCTGGGGAATAAGAAGCCCAGTTTCCCAGCTTGAAAGTGGCATACTAGCCACAGCCACCCAGTTCAGCTACTGTCCTCTGGGCTAGGGAGACCAACAGAGGGAAAACCTCTACTCCCTTCTCCTACACAGAAGTGAGTGCCTGAGTTTGTTTTCAGCTGCTGTGGGACACCAGAGCGGGAACTGTCCTCTCCCTTTCTGATGGTCCACGATCAGAGTCAGCCATCCTTACCAGCCCTCTCTTACGGCACTCCTTCCACTCCCCTACAGAAGGAGGTAAGACTGGCCGGCTGACACGTAGGGGCCCAAGACCCTGAACTGAAGGTTGCTGCGCTCAAGTCGGGGGGAGTCTGGACTGCAGGTGACGGTACACAGGGCTGCTCTGCAGACCGACTCACCCCACCTCTGTGGCCCAGAGCAGACTGAAGGCCCACTCTGACTAAAGGCACCCGCACTCCTCTAGTCCATCATCACTAGCCAGCAAGTGGGTATTTTCCTATCAGACTACATGTCTCACTCTCGCTTCTCAAGGAGATACAGGGTGGGGGGGGGGCCTTCTGGAAGAGACACAAGTGGGCACCAGGGGACCAAACAGCAGGTAAAGAAACAAGCAAGGGCTAACTGAGAGCGGCAGGCCTTGGGCCGAGGTACAGGCTGAACTGAGCCATCCCTGGACTTAGAACCAGCAGAGCTTCAGTATGCACGAGCTTAGGTGCTGGGAGGCAAACCAAGTTTACAGTTGTCTGGTCTCCCAGCCAAGACCACAGGTCTCAGTACCTCAGTCAGGGCTGGGTCATCAGAGGCTCATACTCTCTGGGGCTCTGGGTTCATAATCCCAGTGGGTCCCTGGTTCAGACGTTCACCCAGAGCCAAGGCAGGAGGTTAGTGGGTAGACGCTCCACCCCGCTTATCGTGGTTACAGATCCATGGAGATTTATTTCAATGAGAGATTTCCTCTGCAGACACAAGGTTTAATCAAACAACAGATTCAAGTCTAGGGGAATCCGAGCCATCTTCTCTGATGCCCAGACCATTGCTACAACTCCAGTGTTTCAAGGAAAAAAAATTAAAAGTTGCCCTTTTGGTGCTACTTAGAGACATCTCCCAATTCTGAACCCATGCTCCACAACAGAATCAACTGGGGAGCCTATAAAAAATGCCAACGCTCCGAGCACACTGGGACTTATTACATCAGAATGTCAGAGGCAGGGGTGAAGTTCGGGCATCAGCATTTCCCAGAGGCTCCTGGGAGAGGCAGCAGCAGCCAGGGAGCACACCAGAGCCCCTCCGATCCCTCCCCATCCTGACTGCCAACGCCCCAACTCCCCACTCACTTGCCCTCGCTCTTCTAAGCGTCTGCTCACGGCTTAGACTTGCTATCACTGGGGCCCATCACTGCCTTCACACACTGGGTGACCAAGCAACCAGGAGGGCTACCCCACCGCGTGGCCTTTCCGTTCCTCATCCCCCCCATCTCCAGGCACATCCTCTCCTACTTGATTCCACTCCAGAACCCCATTCCCAGGTCACACTTGGGACTGCCAGCTACTGTCCACTTCCCAAGCAGCTCATGCAAACTCCCCATGCAAACCGCATGCGAAAGAATGTGTGGGGCAGACGCTGGGGTGGGGAGACTGGACAGACAGTCCAGTGATCGGCTCTTCTTCCCGTTCTCCAGCTGCACCTGCATGGACTCCCATGCCCTCCCAATTCAGGTCCTCTCCCTTCTTCACACGTTCCTCTTTTGTTCACCTTGGCACGACAGGCCACTGATTCATTGCCTTTCTGGTCATACTCCATAAACTCCTTTGTCCCTGTGCCTTTTCTCTGCAGGCTGGCAAACTCCCACCTTGAGGCCAACTGTCTGCTTTCCCTGTGCCTGCACCAAAGCAGCCCGATGCCACTGACCCTCCCCGTGGTAGCCCTACAGTAGCGCTATGGGTCCCACCTCCCTCCTGCAGAGCTCCCTCTACTCCCAGCTTCCCCGCCTGAGGTCCTGGCGGCTCCCAAGCGCCATGCCAGCCACTTCAGTCTTGAGTGGGGTCTCTTTCAGTCCCTCCCTCTTCTTCCCAGTGAGGAACATCACACTTACTGCAGTCACCCTACATTCTCGCCCTTCAGTCGCAGTACTAGTACCAGGGCTGTGCCTCCTGCTGCTGAATGCCAATTCCCAGGCTGCCTCCTCAGGAACCCCCTCTGCCGCCTTGTCTCGACTTTGTATACTTCTCTTCCTCGAGCAGATCCTTCCCTGCGGCTCTCACACATGCTCAAGGCTCTCCACCAGAGAGCGCACTGGCCCCTCTGTCCTGTGCCAGGCTCGCACTCTCCTCCCTCATGAATACACAAGCCAAAAAGCTGTCTGCATTACCTGTCACTATGGTCATGTCCTAGTCCTCCTGCCTCAACCCACTCCGTGTGCCCTTCTTTGGTCCCCACACACTGGTGCTGACCCTGTCCTAGCCAGCAACACTAAGTCCCCCCACTAGCTAGGTCTGAAGGTCACATTAGTTAGTCCCTCCCTCACCTGTCCTCCCAGCAGGCGGCACTGGGAGCAGGTCACTCTCCTAGTGTCCTTCCTGCTCTCCAGCAGCTCCTTCTCTGTCTCCTGCGAAGGTTTTTCTCCCTTTAATCGCACAGTACATAACTGGATTCCTTCCAGATCTGGAACTGGGGCTGACCCCAACTCGGTATGTTTTCCCTTTCACGGCTCCCTCCTTGTAGTGAGTTTTCTTGGTCCTGTGCAGGAAGCAGCCTGAGACTGTCCAGCTGCTCTGCCTAGGATGGGGAGGGTCAGCTCAGCCCCGGGCAGGAAGAGGAAGTTACCCTCTCGAGTTGTGAGCCTGGCCTGCTCCGAAATCTACTCAAGTGGGTCAGAATCCGGAAGGGCTGTAATCTGGGATTACAGTCTCCCCACACCGTCAGAGACCACAATCTGCTTAGAAGGATACCCCTAGAAGAAACACCCTCAGATAAAACAGAGACCTCCTCAGCTCAGAGAGACATTACTTCCGCAAGGCCTCTAAGAAACACACCAGAGCAAGACCAAAACTCGTCAAACCAGAGTCCTCTCCTACTACCTAGCAACGCATTAATGGCACACGAAGCACTCACTTCCTGTGAAGAGGTAACCAGCGCCAGGGTTGAACAAGGAAATGCTAAGCACAGGTAAGCATCCCGGGGATAGATGCTGCCACCGCCACGTTTTCGTCCATAAAAACAAAGATCTGCTCACCTTTACCACATGGCAGAGTTTCTGTGTTAAAGCCGAAATTGAACTGACATCATAGTCTTGGAGACGAAATGTGTAACCAAAAGTTTTAGCATATTCTGTAAGCAGATCGGTCATCATAAGGCAGTTATCCTTCTGGGACCGAAGGAGTTTGACAAACTGGGCAGCCAGAGCTTTGACTCGTTCCACCTCTGTCAAAGTGAGGATTTTTTCTTCTCCGCATTCCAATACCTTGGAAAACACACAGGGAGGAGGAAGGCAACAGTGAACAAGTTCGGACCATTCATGGAATTCGAGGGCACATAAATGTATACACTTAGTAACTGAGAAGCACTCTGGGGCTCTTCTGTGGATACAGAGCTTCAGTTTTGCAAGATTTCTGAAATGCACACTTAAAAAAGGGTTAACTAGGTAATGTGTATTTTATCACACACGAGAAAAATTTTTAAAGTACTTTAAGGGTCAAAAATAGTAATACTAATAAAATCAACAACAGAAATCTGGTTCAACGTCACTCAACAGCCAAGCATTCACATCACCTCACAGACTCATCCCCACTGCCACCTGAGAGATTCGAGAAGTATGGCACTAACGGAAGAATATTCCACTTAAGAAATCAAACTAATCTTTTTTTTTTCAGTAATTACCCTGAAACAAATTCAAAGAATAGTTCCTTTCTTTATTAAAGTTTAAAAACCAACATTTACCTAGAAATACTAAGTACTGAGCCAACAACACAGCTTCTCTGATCAAAATATTGAAGGTTTCCCTCTTATTTCCTAACTCCCTATTCCCAGGAAAAACAGACCTGGAAAAGAAAAATTTCCCCCCATATATTGCTCAGAAAAGGATAACTGGAAAACTCTTCACTTACTTGTAAAATATCAGGTATGGCTTCAAAAAGTTCAAGTAGTTTAGTAAACCCGTAGTACGCGAGTTTGCACTGCCGGCCAAAGTGGTGGTGGTAGGAGGGGATAAATTTGTTAAAGGGCATCCGGAAGTGCGGCTGATGCCGGAGCAAATCGACAACATCCTTGGAGAACTGTTTTGTCCTTTCTATTTCATCCTGGGTACGCTCTTAAAAAAGAAAAAAACAAATCAGTTTTCTTCCATTCATCTGTGTCAAACCTGACTGCTGTATTAGTCCTATGCACAGATGACAAGAGATACCATCTCTGCCTTCCAAACACATATGCAACCTAAAACAAACACATTCATGTTCTCTCTCTGCAGAATGGTTTTCAAACTCCGTCAAGGGCACAGCACGAGCAAGCCAGGAGACTACTATGGTATACTACAAAAGACACATACATACACCCCCATGTAGTTTTGCCTTGCAAGCTAGGTGTATTTTCTCTAGCTCTCCATCCCTCACTTCTATCCCGTATATATGCACATGACATACTTCCAGGTCTCTGTACTTGAAAGAGTAGCCAAGAAATTATTTCTGGAAAGCTGCATTTCTGAAAAGCTACACATTTTTTGTGTCTTCTAATCTTCAGTTAAAATTGCTAGCAGGCCAGAGTATCAGGCAACAAAAGTTTATCAAAAGTACAGGGGAGGGGCGCCTGGGTGGCTCAGTGGGTTAAAGCCTCTGCCTTTGGCTCAGGTCATGATCCCATGGTCCTGGGATCCAGCCCCGAGTCGGGCTCTCTGCTCCGCAGGGAGCCTGCTTCCTCCCCTCTCTCTCTCTGCCTGCCTCTCTGCTTACTTGTGATTTCTCTAAAAAAAAAAAAAAAAAAAAAGTACAGAGGAGAAAAAACTTCAACTGCAATTTTTGCTTCTGTTAATTTTTAAATCAGAATCCGGAAGATTGAAATGACTCACTCCAAAAGCTTTCAGGGATTATGATTTCACGAACAGGAGTGTTCTGCAGGAACACAGGTTAGGAATCACAGATTAATAATACTGGGAGAACATGGCAGTAGGTACACGTAACTTTACTTATCTCAGCTCCCAGAGCTTAATCAGAAGGACCAAAATGAGAAAGCCAAAACATCTGCTTGGATCTTCTTTCTTTCTCAAGAGTGCACAGTCAAGTAGCTCAGTTAAAGAGAGGAGACAAGCAACAGCCATGGTAACTGTCTCTCAGCCAGGTAATTATGGTGTCAACAGCCACAGACAGGCTGAAGAAGGCATTTCAAGAAGGTGCTGCTTATGCCCGTCTTTCCCCTACAGTGAATTCTAAAAAACTAGCTTGCTTTTCTTGTTGGCAAGTGGCCGCAACTGCTCTAAAGAACCCCAGATCCGATGTACCGCGATAGTTCTCACGATGCACTTTCCACGGAATCTTTAGGAACCATGGAGGCGGGGAAAGGACATAGGATTCCTTGTTAAGATACACAACTGTCGAACAGCACATTTAGGTCAACATACCTCTCTTGGGGATACAAATCACCATTTCATTATCTTGTTGGGACAAGCAGATCGTTGTGTCTGGGATTTCTGAGACAATATCGATCAACTCACAAACACCATATTCGGTGACATCCCAGTCTTTTGAGAAACACCTAGAATTCAACCAGGAAAGTGGGTAAAGAATCAGAAATATCACTTGCAAGTCTTCCTCAAAATTGCTAAATAGAAAACGTTGGATAATGATTTTAAATCTGTGGGAAGAAAAAGTGTTCTGAAGTATCTGCTTTCTTTTTTGACCCCCGCCCTTCTCATCAACTCACCAATGATAAGCCTGTGAGAACTCCCTCACAATGACCTGTTTGCTGGCTTGGGATTTGAGAAGTTTTAGTAAGTCCTGAGTAAAGCGCTTCACCTGGGCCCTGTGGGTAAGGGTCAAAAGACGTTTGGAGCCCATTCCGAGAATCTGCAAATCAAACACTTTGATTATTTATACTTGTCAGACCTTGGCACGTACTGACTCTCTGGGTGATGGCATTCCCTCTCTCTCCTGTTACCTGTCTTGGAGAACAAGTCCTTTTATGTATGGGATCTGCATTTTTAAATACATGTAGGTCAAAAGAATGCAGACGGTCAAAATGAATGACTGTTCAAGTGCCAGAGATCCCTGCCCCCGTTTTGTTTGCCCTTTTATACCCCTTCCCAAATAGTCATGAGTACGGAAATAAAAAGCTCATTATTAATCTGGGCAACTAATTTTGTCTACAAAAGACAACCCAGGTGTTCCATGCCAGTTTATAAGCTGAAGCTGTTTTATGGGTAAGGAGCTATGGAACAAGCTAAATTAATAGGGTCAAGACTCCTTAGGAACCAATGCTAGGCTCCAGCCCAGGAGCTGGTCTTTAATTCATTGATGAGAGCTAAGCCTATGTTCATGACAGCTCTTCTTTAAGAGTGAACGATCCTGGAGAGTCCTGAGCTAGGGAGAGGAAGGTCAGTCTACAGAGATTAGAAGGAAAATACTCCTCAGTGCTCTGAGGGAAGGTTCCTTTTTTATGTTTAAACTCAGTTTTCTGGAAAAACTGAGAAGCCACCCCGAACGAGGTTACCAACCATCCTGTTTCCCTGAAGGAGCCGAGGCCATAGAGGAACGTTCCTGTCATTAAGCAAATAATCCTTAATCCTTCCTCACCTGCAATACGTGAGGCACGGCTTCCAATAATTCTATCAGCTTGGAATACCCATAGTCTGATACCCGACACTGCTTTGCAAAATGGTGGTGGTAGGACGGGATGAAATTACTAATGGGGATGACACAGGACGGCTGGCTCTTCAACAGGTCGATCACTTCCCTGCTGAACTGGATCAGCTGGGGGTTGCCCACAGGACTTTTAGAACGCAGAAGCCAAGGATCTAGACAGGGGGAGAAAAAGAGAACATGCCTAAGATAGGATTTCACCCCTGAAAGAAAGCTAACTCACTTCGCCCTCCCTTGCCTCAGCTCAACCATAACCAAGGAGATGAGACCAAAGGGCCGCTGTACTTCTCAGCATCTACACTCAGGTCCCATATAACCTATGGACAAGCACAACTTCTTCAAGGGCTGGCAGATGCTTTACCACTACTTCTCAACGTTCTGTGGTCAAAGGAAAGCATAGTTCAGCAGAGTGTTAACTTAAAGCAGAATTACACAGGATGTTTCCAGCTTGTAAACTGGTTGTATTTCAAAGGTTCATTTGAACTTGGTCCCATGGAACATATTTTCCGATAAAAACAAAGTTACAGATGGGGAGCAAGCAGGTAGCCCAGAGAAGTCTAATTAACCCTCAGGGAAGCCGAAAACATCGTGCAGGAAACCATGGAAAGCAGTAGCGTAAAACCTGCCGATATAAAACTAAGAGATTCTTGTATTTATCTGAATGTCCATGTAATTAAGAAAAAGTTTTAATTATGAAAGTATAATCGGACAGAAACGTTTCTACAAGACTAGCGGACTGACGACAAAAGAGGAAAGAGAAAGACCGCAGTGCATGGGAGCCTGAGTGGTCTAGGACTGAGGGGAAAGGCAGGAGAAGGTGGTAAGCAGCTCTGATACAAATGCTTCTCCTTCCCCGGTAATCCTTACCTTTCTTCCCACGGGGGGGGGGGGGGGGGGGGGGGGGGGGGGGGGGGGAAGCAAAAGAGGAAGTGGTCAGGGTCAAAAAGAAGGAAGCGTCGTTAGGAAGGCAACAATTTTCAGCCCCGTTCACAAGTGGTGGGATTAACACCTGCAGCCTGGGAGGAGGCCCGGGACTCAGACACTCACCCAAAGCTAGGTTTACATTTCCTGGTCCTTTACACGGAAAGCTAAATCTGTTTTCACATTTATCCAAGTCACAAACGTTGACCAAAACAAACTTCAAAGGTAAACCTGCATTTAGCAGTATTTCTTTCAAATACCTTGAAACAATTTTTAAAAAGGCCGGTCAACTGACGAGCCAAAAAGCTTCACAAAATTAGGTGGGTCTGAAGGTATTTGTAACGGTGAAATGTGGCTTTTAAACTTTTTTACAGAATTTACGCTGGGACTTGCAAGACGTCTGGTTCTGTCAGACCTTCAGCACTTTGGAGAAGTTTCAGTTTTTACAACAACAGCCGACATTTATGGTGCTTCGCGCCTGGCAGGCAGTGCCAAAGACAAAAGTGCCAAGACAAAGCCAACGGCATCCTCTCGCAGTGGCTGGTGGCTCAGAAAACCCCAGGGCCTGCCTCCTACCTGTGTTTGGAGGCGGGGGCTTGTTGTGGATCCATCTGACCACTTTGATGCCACTCTGCGCAGTGGCAATGTTTACGCCCGGAACACAGGTGACGAGGTGTTCTAAGGGAACGCCCGCTTGATTCTCCTGCAGTACTTCCAGCTCGCCAAACTCGGCAGCGTAACAATCTGGAAAGCTGAAGTGGGGGAAAGGGAGGCTAATCAAACTAACGGAAAAGCAAAGCACCTGCTACACAGAAATCTTTAATATATCCACTCATAAATCCTTTCTCCTTAAATCCTCAGGATCTGGGTTTGAACGTGAAAATTCAGGTCCCAGGGACGGGGAGGCCATCACCACGGCACTGACCTCTTTGGCGCTGAGGATACCAGAAATACCCGAACAGTGTTCCAGCACAGGGGGTGAGAAATAAGGCAGGTGGGTTCCAAGCCCAGTTATTTACCTGCTTTAAGGTATCAGTGGCTTTAAGGCAAACGGGCTTTAGGGCCCATGTTGGCCCCTAGAGTAAGTCTACTCGGCCCCGGGATGCTTACATGGCCTTCTGAAGAACACCTCTCTCTCAAGCTTTACAAGTTACTGCTTGAGGTGTGTGCACTCTAGCAGCACGCATGCTTACTTCTAGAACAGCGCTTACACTGATCTCATCTCTGTGGGGAAGAAACGTTCCTATTCGTTGCTTCTGTTTCTAAAAATCAGCACACACACAAATTTTTCTGTGGAAATACCAAGCAAATGTATCCCATTTCAGATGTACTTTGACTGCAAGGCGCTAAAAATGTTAGGATGAGGCATTCTGTGATACTCGCTTGGGAAGAGGGGTGGGCAGAGGGCAGACTTTCTAGAAAGAGGAGAACCAAGGCATCGTATCTCGGTGGCTTTGACATGTTCACCTTAACAAAGGCACGGTGCCCTCGTGTGTCTGCAGAAGACTGTGAACCTGGGGCGCAAACGTCTTCAAAGAGAGAATCACAAAAGGAATCTTATACGAGTCTGGATCAAATTCATGTTCGCTACAGAAAAGAGAACACAGCAGTTGGCTAAAATATTTGCAAGGAAATTGTAACAGATATTCCATGATCTTGGGCCAAGGGATGTTTCTAAAGGGAAATGAGTGTTATACCTGAAGTCCTTATTGGAACAATGCTGTCTGCAGACAGGCCCGTGACATTCTAACTCTTCAAATATAATTGGGCTGCAATTCGTCGAGGAGCCGTCGTGCGACTGGGAAGACCCCAAGGGGCTCTGCCGGGCCTGACTGCTGGGGAGGAGACACACCAGCCTGCCATTCCCTTGCTCACGGATTGTGACCGTGTCTGTTAATTTATATAAATCTGACACATTCAACTTGTGTCCAAACCTAAAAGCGAGGAAGAGGAGAGAGATGCTGACTTAGAACGTTTTTCGGTGGTTATACAGACACGCCCGTATATCGGATGCAATAAGGAGCTATTGCCAAGAATCGTTCTTCTGTCTCCTCAAACGTAAAACTGGAATAATTCTACTATAAATTCATTTACGACCAAACCAGTAATGCTTGGCAATTCTTCAAGTCACCTCTGGCACACTGCCCATTAGTCACTATGTCATTTGGTGCTTATTCCTCGAACCCTAAAGTTTCTATAAATGACCTCACCTAATTTCCTGAGCTGGAAAGCTATAGGATATGACCTCTTAACTCGGCTCCCCCAAACCGGAAATCCCTCTGGATTACCTACCCCTCTCACCATCTCTGCTCTCCTCCCTCAGAAGAGGTATACTCATTTTCAGCTACTCCTTCCCCTCATCTATGCCTCAACCTCATTTCCAGAGGGTCAACTCCTCAATCATCCCCCCGACGCAGGTCTCTCACACATGGAGCTTAAAGGCACCGGCTCAGAAGGCAGAAAGATTTGAGTTCACATCCTGACCCAACCTGTGTGGCCTCAGTCACCTCGGTTCTAGAATCTTCTAGAACCAATCCCGGTTCTAAGGAAAAGCCTTAGCTTTTCCAAATGCAAAATGGGAAGATAATACCCACCTCACAGGGTTGATAGGAAGATTACATGTTATGTCTGGAAAGAACCTGGCACACATTAAGTGCACATCTGCCGCTCCACTGGTTTCTTCCCAGGGCCCTACACTGATGCTCAGACCAAGTTCGGCCTCACACCCTTGCCCTCACTCAAGCTGTCTGCCCCTGCGCACAAACAGCCCCGGTGCTCTCGCTCAGTCCTGTAACCTGGTTATACCTCTAATGCCAACAGCTGCTCTCTCAGGAGCTGTTCGGCCATTTTACCGTCCAGTCTGTCAGCCTGTTGCCCCCAGATTTTACCCACAGGGCTCTGTAGGGATGGCAAGTCACCAGCAGCCTCCTCCTCTCTCCCAAACCTCGCACCATCCCCACGTGTCCTGATGTCACTCTCACCTCTGGGTTCTCTCCCGCTTCCTGTCCCTCGTGCCATTTCATCCAGTTCTGCCGTTCTCTGAGTTGCCTCTCCCTCCCAATCTGCTCCCCTACCCCACGATCCCCTTTAGGAAAATAACTGCCACATCTTTCTATCTTCAGTGTCCAAAAACCAAGGACAAAAATTCACTGTACCTCCTGAACATGCTTTCTTTATTTCTCCATATCTGATTCAACCACACAACCAGTCCATCTGGGGCAAAAAAAACACTCAGAATCAAAACAACCTCTACCGTTTACCTTTCCTTCCACGTAAAACTAGTCACCAGGTCCTGACTCACTGACAACTCAAACTTCAGTATTCCAACAGCATCTGCCCAGGCCTGGGGACTGGTGTGGCACTGTCTCTCCGTCTCCCCCTCTGCCCTGTCCATTCCACCTCCGACGGACCCATCACCAGAAAAGTTTTCCTGAAGCATGGTTCCTGCCACCATACCTCCCCCTTCACTCCTCCACAGATCAGGGCTCCCACGATTCAGAGACTAACACTCCCAGCTCCTTGTTCCTTTCATCCTCATACCATTTTCTCCTCCCTGCACTTCCTTTATGACAGTTTTCTTTGTTCTAAAATGATTTGTGAATGTTTTCTCTTCCGTTCCAGTCATAAAGTCCTCAGGGACAAGGGTTGTGTCCTCCCAGCTCTGCACTCTCCACAGAGCCCCACACTTTCATTCCACTAATACCTGCTAATGCCTGCTAAGCCCTGTGCACTGAAGAGACTGTCCTTAAGTCCTTGCTGTCCAGGAGCTTACGGTCTAGAAGGTGCTCAAAAATGTTCACTCGATGAAGAACAAAACTCATCAGTCAAATTGGGGGAAAAAAAAAAAAGGAAAGTACAGCTTTAGGCACTGAGGTCTAAATTTGCTAAAAACAAAAGATGCTTTTAAGATGTATGTTAAAACTGAAATCTGAATTTAAATACCACTGCTTTTATGTCTTTTCCTCCACCGGGCCAGACAATCCTGCAGAGCAGCTACCACAGTTTTATGCCAACCACCGATCAATATAAGAATTATGGAAGCTGCCAATGAGTACAGGCTCAATGAGAGAAAAAAAATAAGCCTAACTTACTTTTTCTCATAGATATCTGTAAATTTAAAAAGAGGCAGACAGCAGGCAGGGGCATCCTGAAGAATAGACATTGTTTCTGCACTGTAAAACAAAATTTCACTTTATCAGAGATGTTACTGGACATCAACAGATGATTTCCAAGTTGTATTTAATAAACTGAGTTCACATAATTAACAAAAATTACAGCTGACCCTTGAACAACTTCACGAGTTGGTGTTCTTGTGGATTTCTTTTGATAAAGGCAGTACAGTCCTGTAAGTGTATGTTCCCTTATGATTTTAGTAACGTTTTCTTCTATCTTACTTTACTGTAAAAAGACAGTATCTAACGCATGTAACATACAAAACAGGTGTTAATCCGTTGTTTATGTTACCAGTAAGGCTACTGGTGAACAGTATGCAATTAGTAGTTAAGATTACGGGGAGCCAAAAGTTGTATGTGGAGTTTTGACTGCATGAGGACGGTGTTGGCACACCAACCCCTACGTTATTCAAGGGCCCGCACAACATAAATTTACCGGTTTCTGTTATGTCAAAATTAATTTTCCGGAACAACTTAAATAACTTTAGGGACAAGGTGATTAAAGAATATAAAATCAGACACAAGCATAGGGCTTCTCACACCTGTGTATCAGAAGAACGCTGACTACTCTGTGAGACAAACACCCTGTTGACTCAGAGTAAAAGACAAAACAGCTTGAATGTGTCCTGCCACGTTGTGGTTCACGTAGTTCATGAACTCCACGTGGGAGTGGAATTCCCACAGTTGAGGATACAGAACTGAATACAACATATCCTCCCAACTATGGTCTTAAAAACCAAAAAGGCAGCCAAAAACAGAGAGAAAACAAAAGGCAAACTGTTGAATGATCGGCTTTGAGCCACAGGATTATGGTTTTCTCCCCCTCTTCTTTTATGTTTCTGACCTTTCCAAAGTTTCTTCCATGAGTATTACTTTTATTCTAGGGGATAAAAACTGTAATTTAAAATAATGGTGAAGTACATGTCACAGAAAAATACCTTTAAGAATTCAAACAGATTTTTTAGAATTGAGTTCTGTTTTACTCGTTTCCCCCAAAACAGGGAGAGCCGAAGAATCACCAAAGTGCATTAAGAATAAAATCACCACCAGGTTCCTACAACTGACATAATCATAATGCCGACTTACGGAGTGTCTATTTGATATGAAGCACCTATCTGTAGGTTGAGAGCTTGGAGCTTTGTAGACCTCCCCTTTACAAACCAACCAACCTTCTCCCAAGATTTGGAGGTAGTATTTCACACTTTCCAGGCTTATAAACTTTTATGATAGAGGGCTACTATTTTTAGAACCTGCTCTGGATATGTGGTGTATTATTTTACTCCTAACTGCCTGCCAAGTTTAAGCTGTACTTCACCTTTGAGTAGTGACTTGAACAACAGTCGAATTATTCTAACTAGCTTCTTGCTGACTTCCAGCTTATCTCTAAGCTCTATCGATTACGAATAAGCACTACTGCATATGGAATCGTCTAAGAGGGCTGGGAAAATGATCGAATCTATTTTCTTATTTCTAAAACTGTTTCTGGGCCAAATATTATTTCCTGAAATAAATGGTTTGTTTTTACCTCAGTAAAGAGAGTGATTTATTAGCAGCTCCTGTGGCAAGTGAGACCAGGATCTTCTTGCTGCCAATTTTGTATCTGTGAAGGTTATTCACCGCACTGATTGCTTCTTGTAAGTTCTCCATCTGAACAACAGCCTTGAGCTGATAATCTGTATGGGGGCTGAGCTCAACACTCTTCACCTACAGCAGTAAAAAGGAAAATGGAATGCTATGTCTACCCAGAACCCTGTCATCTTAAAACTGAAGGTGAATTATTAGGGAACATGTTTGCAGACTTCCGTGCTTCTGTGAGGGAATTTGTCCGAACTCTATACTCTTGCCGAGCAAAACCTAAGTGAACTAGGACTGGGTGACCTTCGGGGCTCTGAAACCGGCCTGGCCTGCCTGCACGCTCTGGCGCACACAGGACTCCCGTGCAGGCTCAGGAGCCAATACATGGGAGGAGTCTTGGCGGGGGGGGGGGTCTTCTCTGGACCCTGCAAACACCTGGGGCATAGCCATTTAATAATCTGGAAAAGGTGCACTTCTAGCAAACAGCACCTAAAAACTGCATCAATACAGAAAGATGTTAACAAAAACAGCCAACGTTACTTCAGAATCCTATTCCTGTATTCTAGCAGTCAGAGCTAAATAAAACCCATCAGCGTTTTATTTCCCAAAGTGCCACTTAAATCTCTGCCCGTGACCACAAGTGCTTCTTCACTAGGTCCCTTGCTCTCTGGGGCTATGTCCTAAAAACTGGAGACACAGTATCACCACGAACAGACCACACGAGAAACTCATTCAGTAATCCTCATATCCTGGCTGCAGTTACGTGCTGAAAGACATGCTCTCGACTTGGAGTGCTAGCGAAGCGTAAAAGAAAGGCAGAAACAGGAGAGAAAAGGTTACCTTGCCGTGCCTAGAAAACGCTTCCTGCATGAGCTGTTGCAGCTCCTTCCGGGACAATCTGTAGTCGATGTTGCTGATCTGGATGTCAGCACCATTTGCAAATGGGTCTGGGCTGTCGGCACCAGTGCTCGGATTGGCAATGTTGAAAGCAAGTGGGGACGTTCTGTTTAAAAGGTTTGGAGACATACTCCTGCTTAAGACATAGATACTGAATTATTTTTAAAAAACCGTGGTTCTATTTATTTTGTTCATATCATTTAGGATTTGTTTGAAGCTATACATAGAAAGAGCTTTCCACAAAACCACCAAACTAAATATTTGGTGTTTTGTTTTGTTTTTAAATATTTGGTTTTCAAATGTATGTTTATCTTAAATACACAGATTTATTGTCAGAAGTACCACCTGTTGGCCCCTTAGTGACCTGTACATGATTTAATATCAAATATGCTTTCACTGGATTATTGAAAACTACAGACAAAATACAGGTTGGCCTAATGAATTAATTTTCTACTTGGGGTATTTATTCTTGATTAATTAGCCCGTGAGACTAATGTAAGGCACTTAACCTCTCCCGGCTCTGAAAACACTGGATATTCTTGTTCATGTGCTATAGTCTTTCTCCACATCAGGAAAACTTTCACCTGAATTTTAAAATGTAACTTTACAGATCCAAAGTCACTTTCTGGAGGGAGTCTTCACCAACTCAGCAGAAAAAGACAATGCTTGAAGGAGTTCACGGGACACAACGGTGCCTTATGGCTCCTGCCCTCCAGGACCCCGAGGAGTACTCAGTATGAGTGTGGAGGGCTTAGGTAAGTGTTACTTAGGTAATGACAGTGGTTTAGAGACTTTTCAAACAGCTCCTGGTAATTACCCTAGGAGTTAAGAATAACCAGTGCGTGTCCAGCTCGGGCTTCTTTGACAACATGACGAAGTCAGGAGGAAATGCTAGGGACATCTTAACGTGCATCCCATCCGGGCCAGGGACTCCCAGACAAGTTCCTCTGACCTCTGCTTACCCAGACCCCCACGTGGAAGAGGGAGAGCAGCAATGCCCCTGACGCCAGCTAAGATTACCCGAGGGAAAGGGGGGGTGGGGGAGGACGGGTGGAAGATTCCTCTTCTACCTCCGGCACTCCTATATCGCTTGTATTCTTCCAAACAGGTGTCATTTTGTAATACCTCCTCTTGCGAGCAACTACCCCACGATTAAGCAGCCAGACTCACCGAGAAGACCAAGACTGTGCGGCGAGCAGAGGACTGATCTGCCTTGATGTGATCAACTTGCTGAAAGCCGACGGGTAACTCACTTGGAACGGGGTCTCCTCTTTATCTCTCTTCTCCACAGGAGAACTGGTGACACTTCGGGCGCAGAGGTTCTCTTTTCTAATGGAGGGAAAAGTTGCAGGGAAAGGGTCACTGGATTTCCTTCACGTTAGACAAGCATCTGCGAGGAAGAGTGAGCGAACCTACTTCGGATTGGTTTTGTACGCGGACTCTGGAGTCCCCGAGTTCTTAGGTGCGGGTGCTGCGGCACTCGAGCTCCTGTGAGGAGGTGCGGCCAGCCTCGGGTGACCCTGCTGGGAGTCACTGCTTCTAGTTCCAGTCCTCGACTCCAGGCGGCACAGCTCCTTAAAAGAGACAAGTGCGGTGGAGGTGAAAACGTAAGTACCCACGGCGTGTTAAAGCCTGTCGGGGAAACACGGAGCTCTGAGTATGGTCAAAAATGAAAATTTCAAAAGGATACGCCAAAAGCAAGCGGGCATATCAAACACAGACACAAACCAAACCTACCATAAACTTCAGAAAGCAAGAGGTATCGAAGTTACCTGTAAACTTTTAACATTTGTGTTTTTTGTAGCAGATCCAGAATTTGCCTGCGACCCTTTTCCAGGCGTGGCTTTGGCACTGGAAGATTGTTCACTTGTATCTTTGATGAGGCACAATTTTGGATTCTTAAGTTTTTTGGGAGACTTCGCTTTATCGGCAATTGCACTGGAACCCTTTGTCTCACAGAGTTCTCTAGTTTTTGGAGTAAATGACACAATGATCCTATTACCAAAGACATCTTCGTTTTCCATTCGCTTCTGCGCCCGTTCTGCACTATCTTGGTTTATGAAGCGGAGAATCGCACTGCGGCCCGTGATACTCAGCACTCTCCCACCACAATTATCAGACAGGCGCCTGAGCCTGCTGCTGACGCTCTTGCCATCTTTATTTGCTGGTAGGTTATAAACATAGAGCAGAGTGTGGCACTGCTGATACAGAGGAGAAGTGTTACAACAGGTTAACGGAGGGGCACACGTTCAATCACACAATTAGAACAAGGAGTGATCTCCAGGCGTAAGCTAACAGCCTTAGCCTTGGAGGGGAGGTCACAATGATGTAGAGGGGAGAAGGTGAACTTATTTAGACTGAAAAACACAGAAAGAGAGAGGTGTACCTTAAACGATCGCTCTCGTGGATGAGAATGGCAAGATTTAAAGTTCTAAATGATCAAGTCTTTTTTTCTTTTTTAACCATCAAGAATAAGGAGCTCAGAAGTGGGCAATCTGTTACCTAAAACACTACAACTGACTTAAAAGCCTTGGAGATTAGAAAAGGGAATGCTGCTCTCTTCAGAGCCACCCACATATTCTCCAAATAGCTTAAAAATAGTTCAACACTGCAGTAAACACGCTCATCCAAATCAAGACTTTAAGACATGCTCACCCTGCTGGAAATATGCCCACATTCCCCTAGCACATGGCTCTATGAGCTACAGGTGTAGCAATAACCACTGCAAATTGTGCAAGTGTGTGTGCATGGTGGGGAATGCAACTGTAGAAAACAGGCCTCCCGATGCCTACAAAGGGGCAATTAGGGGCGCCTGGGGGTCTCAGTCAATCAAGCCTCTGACTCTTGGTTTCAGCTCAGGTCATGATCTTGGGGTCATGGGATCGAGCCCCATGTGGGGCTCCACACCGAGCACAGAATCTGCTTGAGATTCTCTTTGCCTCTGCCCCTCCCCCTGCTCACTCACACCCGCGCCTCTCCCTCTCAAATAAATAAATCTTAAAAAGAAAAAAAAAAGTGTATAATTTCTCTGTTTATTTGACTCCATCTTGAATGTGTGCCAACCATCACCATATTCTTTACCCATGCCTGGAAGCAAAAGGAGTAATCAATGTTTCCATTACTTCCATTCAATGGACACAAACACTGCTAGCTTTGGAGAAACTGAAAAGTGGCTGCTGGTAAGGTTAACCTACATGTCAATTCCTTGTGATACTGTGCAACAAAATAAAAGCAAAATCCCTACATATCAATTCTCTGTATGTTTGTAAGAGAAGAACTATTTCAAAGCCTTATTTCAAAACTCTGGCCAGCCTCCTACAAAGAGCAGCCTCACTTGGTGGCCCGTTATGGGGTGGGGGGCGGTCTTCACCTTCCATAATGTAATATCACAATACAACAAAAAGGAACACAAACCCACTTACTGGCATTTTTAGTGGTAACCTAGGGGGCAGGTCGGAAATGAACTCTTCGAATCTGATCAGCTCATTCGCGTGATGCAGCAGCGCTTCTGAGGCCTGGTTTTTATGGACCAAAATTATGTGGAAACCATGCCTGTGTCTCAGGTCACTGAGTTCCAATGCAAAATTGACATCAGCTGCAAGAAAAGGTACAGCCCGCCCCCGTCCCCAAACATTAGGAGGACTGGACAAAGACACACAACTTCCCTGACACCCACTGAGAAAAAAAAAATGGCTGGACTATAGAATTCAGAGTTGCTCCCCACCTCCCACCACTTCTTGGAACAGGAACACATTTCATATTGGAAGAATTAAGACCACAGGACAATTTTACCACATACTTCTACGGATTCCAAGACACATGTTACTTCCCGCAGTGAAAGAAAGCAAATATTAACATTTTGGGGAATATCAACTTTGGAAATGCTTCTTCCTAGATTTTTTAAAAATTTGCTGGGCCCAGGGTAAAAAAAAAAAAAAGGATTAAAAAAAAAAGCTACATTTTCTTTAACTGGCCCCACAAGAATTCTTACTCACATCCTAAGGAAAAAATACGTAAAACCCACACAGACTCCATTTCTTCTCTAAACAGCTCTCAGACATAAGCATAAGTATGTCCGGTGTAGGTCAGCCTGTCTGGGGGCGTATTTTACTTTAACATGTTCTGGCTTCTGTTAACAATTCTGATCCGCGAGTTTAGCTGAAACTGGCCGACCTTCCGCACTTACTCGATACAAGAACCACAGTGGCCGGAGCAGTGTGCGTGTTCGCGAACCTTCGGAGACTCTGGCGGAGCTTATCGTCAGCTGCATTCTTTGCAGTAGCGTTGATGTGGGCAACAGTTACCTGCATTAATTTAAAGTAAAGACAAATGAGCAAGAGCCGAGGTCAGAAAACCACGACACACTCTGCCTGCAGCTTACAGATAGTCCCTGAGGAAAGATACTCTTATTATTGCTGCCACTTAGGAATGGAAAAAATTCTAAGTGGATCTCAGTAATTTCCAATTTGTCTCTCCATACAAAGGAACTAGACCCATTATCATCCCTGCTCACCTCTCTAATCTTCTGCTTTTGTACTTCGTCTATCCGCCTTTGAGAAAACAGGCAGAAGAGGAAGTGGAATTTGAAGTACGTAAATTAGCTCTCCCTACCAGCTTTTGCCAACAGCTGGGGAAGTAGGAGAGATAGGTGTATGAGGAAGGTAAGATTTAGTGCCGTACTGGATGTCATTTGTCTCCACTATACATCGTCTGTGGCTTTCAGGATCTGGGGTCAGGTAGTGAGAAAGGAGAGACATCTGTCCCCGACAGAGCTCAAATGTGTTTATTTCTGTGAAAGCCGCCAGACTCACTGAAAAGTCTCCAGAGCAAGGAAAGGTTTTGATAGCTGCTTCAACTATGTGCAATACATAGTAGGGTTTATTAGTTTTTTTAAGGAGCACAAATATAAAATTTTAGGCAAAATGGCTTATCAACAGAATTACTTGTCTAAGAATCAAAAGAACTGGATTCAGTTCCAGCTTAATAGACTGTGCAGCCAGACAATCTGGATTTAAATCCTAGTTTATCTGTTTATTGGCCATATGATTTTTAAAAAAAGTTGCTTAACACCTTGGTGCTTCAGTTGAATTTGGGTATTTCAAATAATAAATCCTATGAGCCCTTTCCACAGAGCAGTCATGGAAACCAAAAGAAAGAATACAAATTTATGTAACCATCATATTAGCAGAGCATTAGTCACATACAAATAGATTACTGGAAGATCAGTTATGATTAAATGATTTCTAGTACATTAGATATGATCTTTTGATAATTTCCTTTATTTGCAAATAATAATCCTTTATTTGCTGATAATTTCCTTTATCAGCACAAATGTGTATTCTTTAAAAAAAACCCACGTGGGTGAGTTCAAGCCCCATCTTGGGTATAGAGCTTCTTAAAAAGTAATAAAAAGAAAATGTATATTAAAAAAAAAAAAACACCCACGTGCTTATTCTTCTATCATAATAGTTAAAATTATTATTATTATTATTATTACTTTACCTGGCAATTATTCAGCTCTTGAATAACTTCTTTGTTTTCTTTACTAATGTCGCACACACAGATGAATTCTGCTTCTCTGTGGCCTTTAAAAAACTTCTCACGGATTCTCTGTACAACAGCAGTAGCTGAGCGGCCAGAGGGAACTGAACAGTTTTCAATATCCCAAAAAACTCCAATGGGGGGTAAATTTTCCAGCACCTGTCCGGCTAGTGCAACTTCTGGTGACCCTTAGGAAATGTTAACACTTTCAATCATACATACTGAAAAACAATGGCAAACTAAAATAAATAGGTAGCTACCTAGCATTCTTAGCGGCAGAAAAATGAAGTTACTGATTGATGTTAAGCTTAAGGACACCGACCTCACCGGTTGACCTAATAGCACAACCGCAAGTTCCAATAGTATTTCTAAGTGATTATTCCTATTTTTCAGGAGAGAACAAATCTAAAGGCCAGGTTACTTCAAGCCCACAATAAATCCACTGCAAAGCATGAGCCGTTCTCATGCTGGGCGTAATGCGTCTCTGAACACTAACGTGGAGGTAGATGGACACTGCAGCTCTGGGACCTGATCGTCATGATCTGCCCATGCTTGTCTACCTGCTCAGTATGGAAGACCCATGAAGAGGTGACAAAGGGTGAACTTGTTACCATCTCTGATTTAAAAAAAAAAAAAAAAAAAAAAATTTTAACCTGCATTAACATCTGATTTAATATTAAAAAAATGTTTTCAAAAGATAAAATACCACATTAACTACTTTTTTGGGGAAATGATATTTGGGTTTTTTTTTCCAATGAGTTTTTCATCAACCATTACTAAATCTTTCTAAATATTAAGTATTTCTACGGAGTGTACAACTAACAGCAGGATTATGAGCCTAAATTGACAAGGAGTCCCCTCTAGCACTGACTTCTAATACTATGCTCCCTATTTTTCTTCTGGTTTCAAGTAGCCGTAGCTCAACGTGAAAAGCAAATGGCTTGCTGGTCTATAAGGATAAAAAGATTTTTTTTTACCAAGAGGTAGAAATGGAGACTTATATACCCAGGAGCTCCAGAACCACAAGGAATCTTTTCAAGGCGATTAAATGCAGTGTTAGTATCAGATACTGAGAACTACTTAAATATGCACATTTTATACCATACTGTCATTTACCAAATTTCGAAGCAGCTTTGCCTAGACTGGTCGCCAATAACAACGTGGTCTCCTTCCCTGTTCCTTTGGTTCCACAGCCATTACACAGAGGAATAGTAACAGGTGCAGTTTGAGTATTTGGAGGTGGTATATTTGGCCAGACTTTAGCAGCATCAATTATACTATTTCTTGCCGGCTGTTTTAAAAATTTTTTTAAGAAAAGGAGGAGGTTTCAGATACATCATTGCAGAACCTAGAGTGATAAACAACAACTGAAAACATAGTCTGTTTCTTCTTTCCACCTGTTAACCTCTGATGGAAGGTATTTTCAATACTTCAGAGCACTCCCGGAACTATCAGCTATCAATTCGTAAGCTCCCTTCAAGAAGGGACTTGAAATGATCTGGGAAGATAGTCACGTGATCGTTCTAGGGCATGTGTATCCTCCAAAGGTGAGCCCAAATACACTTTACGGGAAGGTCAGAGGTGTCTACTTTAACAGCTGTGTGATCGAGGCCAAGTTCCAAGTCCCTCAAATTGTTATAGAGGAACGACACGGCATGACCTGCGTCGCCTGAGTGGGTCCATGTATGAGGTCAGTGGTATGAGAATCGCAATCGTGCTCTAGCCTTTAAGGTCCAAAGAGAACACGAAGCCTTGCCGAACTCGGTTTGCATCACGTAGGAAACTGATTACAGCAAAAGCCTGTAAAAGCATGAACTACATAATGACTCTGCACTTTTTTGGAAGGGCCCTTCCCATTTCATCCTATGCTTCTTTCAGAGGTGAGAGAAGCCACGCTGATGGGGCGCGAGCTACCTCACAGGAGAATCTTCACCCCCGTGCACAAGCAAGATTGCTCAAGCAACACCTAGCTACGTTCACAAAGTCATTCCTCAAAGGTCAGCTGCACCCAGAGAACAAATAAAAAGATACACACCTTGTTCAGACAGTCTTCGCAGTAAAGTGAGCCCTTTAAACAAACCGGAGGTACCACATTTAGGTGCAAAGAATTGGTGCACAAGTGAGGCGTAAGCTCCGACTGTGAAATGTGCTCTTCCAAATGCCCTGGAGCCCCGCTTGTGAAATCGGAACAGGGGAAGTAGCCAGCAGAGGTGCAGCCCTGAAGAGCCTGGAACTGATGCAGCTTGTGCACGTTACCGTGACATGATTGGAAATGAAGCTTCCCGCAACAGGGCAGGTGTTTGCAGGAAGACAGATTACTTTCTAGACACATGCTGGGAAAGTCACTTGCAATGCCGGCCACACTGTTCCTAGCTGAGGCATTCTGGAGTGAAGACGCAGACTGGAAAGCGAACCCTGACCCTACCTGACACGTGATGGTCCTGGTGCTCTGCGAGTCTAACAGTGCGCCGGGGTGAATCAAGCTACCGGTACCTCCACTACCGCCACCACCGCCACCACCAAAATGCATTGGCGACGTGGAGGGTTCATTAGGGCAATGAGCACAGCAGCTTACTTTGGGGACAGGTGAAAGCTGTATTTTAGGTTGCTGAAGAGAATGGATATCTGGAAGTGGGACTGCTGGAAAAAGCTTAGAGCCAGCATGAAGGGGAGATGGCACATCCTTTAATTCCACAGCAACTTTCTTGTTCTCCATGTACTCTTTCTGGGAAGAGAAGATCAGAACGCCAGTCAATGTTATGAGGCCAGTGACTTTTGGTTACTCACATCCTACTGCAATCCAAAAATGGAAATAGCGTTCAATCCTGTTTACATAACTCAACCATAACCAAGCGATATGGAATGGCAGCTGAAACCAGGGACATTCTTCAGAGAGGCCTGCAGGAGGTGAACACCGAAACAGACAGCTAAAATCAAGACCGTGTCCTTCCTCAATTTCAGGAGACTGGGGGAGGGTTCTGCTTACATGTTCAGCAAGGCAGGTTAACCATCTGTGCCTCAGGGACTTCCCTTTGATAACTTCCCCTTGCCTCACAGGGTCTTCTAAAGACAAAACAGGTGGTATGAAAATAACACAGTCACAAACAGCATTCAATAAAGGTGGCTTACAAGCCAAGCACTCTGAGGAAAAGACTTAATAGTTCTTGCAGCCAGACCATAAAGGGTTTCGGAAAGTCCTCCAGATGATTCCAGACATTAAGGATGAGATCAGCCATCTGCCCCAGTGACCCATCCATGGAGAAGTTTTACAGGTACTGTTGACATTAAGCCAACTGTAGGATACCATGACCTAAAGCCATAATGTCAACAATTACTTTGCAGCCAGGGACAAGAATCAGAGTAGTTAGAAAACTATTTAGAAATAAGATTCCAGAGAAATCATTTGTCATATGCCTCTAACATAGACACAGGAGACCAGCATATTTACAAGGTTACAGCATGGCTCCTGTGTCAGAGACCTGGCTTTGAATGTGATACTCACTGTTTTAGGAACTTAGGTAGGTTACATAACCTCTCTACATTTCAGTTTTGTCAGCCTTCCGTTGGGGAAAACAGGATGAACTTCCTATAGTTGTTAGAAGGATAAAATGAGAGGGTACATAAAGCACTCAGAGTACCTGGCTACTGAAAGGGGATCTAACTAATCAATAGCCCCAATTGGCTGACTGCAGGAACTATTAAGAGAAAGAGGATGTCCCGATATTGTGAGAGAGACATGTTCTTCCCTCAGAGCACAGAAAGGGCCATCTGACTGCTATGATTTCACTCCTTTGGCTGTGGTTCTACACTCATCTGGGAGTACACTCATTTGGGAGAAATCTGGATCTTTCACTCTACATTTCCTAAAAGGGAGGAGACAGCAACTGACTGACTGCCAACAAGCAGTGTGTTCTGCCCTCTTGGTAATTACAGTTTAGGCTAGAAACTACTGGCATTCTGATTTATAGAGATCTGGCTCTTAAAAAAAAAAAAAAAGGCGTGGGGGGGAGGATCTGGCTCTTATGATCAGGGTTATTATGAGTTGGTTCCCCTGAATCTACTCAATTCTGGGTGCCACGAATAAAATCAGGTTTCTGGATCTGTAAAGTTGAGTGCAAACCAGTACTGTGTGACTTCGTAAGGGTCAGATCCTCCATCCCAGGAAGCCCTGTCTGAGCTGCCAACCCTGTTGCCAAGTGTCCCTAATGTAAATGACCTCAATTACTGACACCATGCAAAAGAGATAACTATATAATGAAAACCTGGAGAAGACAGGGAATTTAGTTGAGTTTTTAAATAGTCACTAATACCCTTTTGTAGATTCATAGTAAAGACTCCTGTAAAACCCAAATGCAGTATCAAAAAAGAAAAAAAAAAGACATAGCAGTGAAATGTGGTAATACGGTGCATGGAATGAAATCAGAAAAAGTCAAAATCACTATGAAAAGGCAAAGGAAGTTACAGACACATTTAAATATTCAAGAGAAATCTGGAATAGAAAAAGACTGCCAATAAGGTCCTATCAATCTTCCCTTGATTTTAAGACTCAAACCTCAGAAGGCTAGAATGAAATAAAATCTATTTTATACTTTCCTCTGATTTGACTCCACAATTTGGATTTTATCTTTGCATTCTGTGACTTCCATAAGAAACAAATCTTCCTCAAATGTTAACGTTAAATATTTAAAGCACCTACAGTTCCTTACACCAGGAGTACAAGAGTTAAAAAAAAAACTTATGCTCTCCTTGAGTCAGGAATTATAATCATGTGCTATGAGCAGGAATAAGCATGATATAAGGTGAAACTCAGCACAGACTCCAGGGAGAGAGAATGCCCCAGGCCAAATGGACCACACATCTATTTGCATAAGGAATTTGCTACATCCTCAGTCTTGCGCATAGTTACCGTTTGGGGACTAAGTGGCAATGTCTGCTCAGGACGAGAAAAGCAATTAGAGAATTTCCAAAGCCATGGCTTAGCATCATTATTTTGTTGCAGCCATCCAGGTGTTCTACTGCAGGAGTCCTCAGTTCCGCTTCCTTCCATCATACAGCCATATAAAGTGGTTCAACATTCTTTCATCTTTCTTTTCTTTCATTCTTCCACCCTGTTAAGAATGAGGTCTCAGTGTTATTTATTTGCCTAAGTACAAGTTTCACTATTAAGATGTGAGACTTGGGACTCCTGGGTGGCTCAGATGATTAAGTGTCTGCCTCTGGCTCAGGTCATGATCCCAGGTGGGATCGAGCCCCATGTTGAGCTCCCAGATCAGCAGGGAGTCTGCTTCTCCCTCTCCCTCTGCCTCTCCCCTTACTTGCGCTCTCTCTCTCAAATGAATAAAATCTTAAAAAAAAAAAAAAAAAAAAAAGTGAGACAGCAGGGGCACCTGGGTGGCTCAGTCAGTTAAGTGTCTGCCTTCAGGTCACAATTTTTGGGTCCTGGGATCGAGAGCCCTGAGTTGGGCTCCCTGTTCAGTGGGAGCTTGCTTTTCCCTCTCCCCCTAACTTCTTTGTGTGTTCCCACTCTCTCTCAAATAAAATTTTTTTTTAAAAAGTGAGACTACAACTGTACTTGTAGTACAACTATATGGTACAATGGCTCCCAACAAGAGATCAGTTCAGCCAATTGCCAACCTCCTCCAGCCCTGAGCAGGCCTTTTCTACGGTTTTTCTTAATTCTTTGTGACCATCTCTCCCTGAAGACCCTACTGGTGAGGGTGAAAAAGTTAACGAAGAGCATGTAATTTTAGGGGAAAAAAAAAACAATTATATGTCTTCATTGCCAATTACAGAAGATTCTGAAATTGACTTAATAGCAACCTATCCCGCTGTGTCGCTGATATGACTGTGGAAGGTCCAAATTAAGTGAACTCTGTAGACTCTGTGAATTTGATTCTGCTACAGAACAAGCAAACCAATTTCTTCATGTACTTATTACAAAAGTGCAATCTGATATACCACCAAGAAGCTAACCAAGAAATCTCAAGTCACAGCTGTGCTGTATCTACTCCAGTGTGAACACATTCTTACAAGTCTTAAACGGTACAATAAAAGCAGATCAAATCGATAACAGCCAGTGGGCATGGAGGCAGCCTGCCAACGGTAAGGACAACTGAACCTCATTTCCAAGTCCTCGCCATCATATAGAACCACCACCTATTCTTATCTACAGTGGCCATTTTAAGGTTATCCATGTATCAGAAATTTCACCCAGACATAAAGAAAACCATTTCTTTTAGCTCTCTCTCTCCAAGAGGCTCTTCTCAAGAGATGGTAACATCTATATACCACGGTGAAGGGAGAGAGGAGTACTCTAAGATATTGAACTGATCACATAAACAGGAGCAGGCAAACTATATCCTGCCAGCCCAAACCATCCCACTGCTTGTATTTAAGTGACCTCAAACTAAGAAGGCATTGTATACTTTTAATTTGGGGGCAGGGAATCAAAATAATATTTTGTGACACTAAATTACATGAAATTCAGCTTTTGGTGTCTATAAATAGACATTTGTTTAATACGGTCTGTGGTTATTTACAACTACAGCTACCTAGTCCAGTATCTGCAACAGAAACTGCATGTCCCACAAAGCCTAAAATATTGACTATTTGGCCCTTATGTGGAAGTTACAACAACCTCATTAAGTTTCAGTTTCTTCCTCTGCAGAGTGTGGCTAATTTCTCCCCCTCCACAAAATGGCTGAGGGGGGAAAATCAGAAAAAGGAGCCCACTATCTGTTTTTGTCTTCCCCAATGTAGAGCTTGTGCCAAGCACAGGGCTTCTAACATAGCATATACTAAGTAATTATTTGTTAAATTAAGGAATGATTACATCAACTCTTCACCTACTATGTATAGTTAGGAGTTAGTGTGGAAGCAGAGATGGAGTTAACTGCCACAATGACAACAAATTATGATTGTTGTTATTCCTACTAAACATAGGTCTTGGAGTCCCCCAACAAGCTCCTCCCCAGACCACAGAAATCTGTGATATTCACAATACACAACTTCCACATGCTCTCTTAAATCTCTTCAAGGCCAATCCTGAAAGTGAGCTAGTAGGTAATGCACAATACCAATTACAAAGCCTTTTTATGTAACATTATTTCCTCAATCAGTAATTATTTATTTACTATCTACTATATTAACAGGCCTGTGCTTGGCCCAAGAAATACAATGATGACAATAACCAGACAATAAGATTCATTTACCTAATTTTTTCCCCACAGTAAATCTGTGAGATAGTCAAGGGAGAAATAAGCCACAGATTTTACAGAGGAGTAAACAAAAGTTTAATTAAGTTTTGGAACTTGCCAAGATCAGATAATTAGAAAGGAGGCAGAGCCAGGCTTGTCCTCTTTCCACCATACCAAGATGCCTTCAGCATTGCTCAACATAATCAACAGAAAGTACAACTGTACTAGCTTGTTAGTGGCCCGAACCCAGAAAACTTCCCAAGCATTCCTGGGAAAGCCACTAAGTACCTTAGGTAGCCAGAGCAAGTTTTCTATTGATTTGAGTGGGATTTTCTGAACAATTCAGAGAGTGCTTGAGAGCACAGACTCTGATATCAGTCTGTGTATTAATCCCCAATTTTGCTGCTTCCTGTATGTGTCGCGTTGGAGAGTTCACAACCTCTCTGAACCTCACATCCTATGTGTAAAATGGACCTGATAATAACTGTAGCATCCTCATAGGGCTGTTGTTGGGGTTTAATGAGGCAATCAAAGTCTAAAATCTAGAAGTGGACTTCTCTACCCAAGTTAGTCCTGGAACCCCACACCACCCAGTCCTATTACTTTTTTTTTTTTTCCGTAGCCCTTCTATCTAAAATTGTTTATTTGCTTTATTATATGTCTCCCCTACTTGAATATAATTCCATGACAGCGACATCATGTCTCATTTATTGCTGTGTTTCCTGCACCTACCAGCGCCTGGTGCATATCAACAACTGCTGAATGAGTGAAGAGTTCAATAAATATCTCGGAAGACCGGTTAGGTTTTGATTTCTCTGTATGCAAAACAGCATACTTAGCGCTCAGAGAAGTGGGAAAGTCCAAAAGATACAAATGTAATCAGAAAGCTCTGGGAAATACTAGAAAGGTGCTTGGGAAACGAAAATGTGTATCACAGTGTAGCGTTACAATTGTTAGTGGGAGTGGCTCATGCCCTAAGGCAACTCAACACTATCCGTCGAGCCCAGAGACTACACCCTAGGGAGCGCTGAACTACAGAAGAGAATGCAAAAACGCTCCAGAGGTTGAAAAACACCTCCCCTTTCTTCCTCTCTTAACCTTCTAAGTGTGCCCACTCCCCCGGAAAGGTTGCTCTCCACACCTGGAGGCCCCCCAGGGTGCACGGGGACAGGTGCGGACCGGGAGCCAAACACCCCAAAAAGGGCAGCAGCGGCGCAGCAGTGACAGTCGCGAACGGGCCTGAAGGGGAGACAACCCGAAACTATGGTGGGGGCCTGACAGGTGAATCTCAATCTTCCCCCTCGGAGTAGCCAACCTTCCCCACCCCCGCCAGCAAAGGGCAGGGGAATGGGGGGGGGGGCTGTCCCGCCTCCAGCTGGTGCCCCAGAGCAGTGAGCCGGTCTGGAACTAGTCCCCAGAGCTGCCAGCTAACTCACCTCGGCCGCCGGCTCCACCTCCGCTCACATTCCGGCCCCGCCGCCTTCCCCCCGCCCCCCCAGGCCCTTTGTTTTGATTCCCGACTCCGCAGCTCCCGCCGCCGCCGCCAAGCGCACCCTCCACTTCCGCTTCCGCACCGCACCGCCCCTGTCGCAAAACCGACGCCCTTCTCTTCCCCCCCCTCGCTCCGCCCCTTCCTCCACCCCGCCCCGGCCGCCGTGTTCTCCCCGCGCGGGGCGCGCCGGGAACCCCGGGGGGGGCGGGGCCTCGCGGCCCTGCAGCCTCGTCAGGCTCAGTCCCCTCCCGATAAACCCCTAAATAGAGACCTTCCCCGGGGGAGATCCCGGCTTTTTTGGCGAAAACCCCGAGTTTAAGGAGGCCTTCCCCCTGGCTTATCGTGGTGGCGTGGAAAGGAACCTGAAAGCGAAGAATGAGGGGGTTTGTGAGGGGGAGCCTGGGGGAAAAACCTGCCAACCGGGATTTGATACAACTCAGCTCTTTCGGTCTTTTGAGGGAAGGCGATTTAAACGGGATTTGGATGAAAAACCCGATTGTTTTGGCGCTCTCGCTCGTGCGCGCGCTTCCCTCTCTCCCACTCCCTCGCTCCCTCGCGTCACGTGATGGCTCTATTTATTTATTTTTTTAATTAAATGACGCATAATTTCCACAGCATCTTTAATCTAGTGCAACCTAGTGGCGAGTGGAGAGAAAAATAACCGCCGGCGGGCCTTCCCGCGAGGTCCTTCCTGCCGGCGGGGTTTGTCTCGTCGAGGTGGCGACCCAGCGGGCACAAAATGAAGTGTGTGCTCAGACTCGGCTGGGCACTGTCACCTACTATTAGGGGATGCTCGTGATTTCAGTTAGAAAACGTCATTTTTAAAAGCCCCGGTCCAGAGCCTGTTGTTCGTGCATGCAAACTTTCCAGGGACTGGGTGGGGAAAGCCCTGTGAAACCGTGACTGCTTGTGTGTTAAGTGAATGGATGATGGGGGTTTGGGGGGCTTTGAGGGTTTGGGGTTTGTTTCCTGGGTGGGGGCAGGGTTGATACTTTACCATCTTTTAGCTGAAGTAATTTTTTTTTTTTAAAGATTTCATGTATTTATTTGACAGAGACAGCAGGAGAGGGAACATAGCAGGGGGAGTGGGAGAAGAAGAAGGAGGCTTCCTGCTGAGCAGGGAGCCCCCCCTGGACCCTGGAATCAGGACCTGAGCTTAAGGCAGATGCTTAAGGACTGAGCTGCCCAGGCGTCCTGAAGTAATTGTTTTGTTTGTTTTTTTTTTAAAGCTCAGCACGAAGGTCGTTTCTGAAACTGCCAACTGCTCGCCATTTCCTGTTGCCGATGAGAAAAGTGAAACTTTCTAAATCGAAACATATTTAGGATGTGCTAGCTGAATACGACCTAAAAGTTCACTCCTGAAATTTGCCGAGAAACGGGTTAGTTTTGCAGACGAATAAGTAGAAATCGCCAAAAGAGTTTTGTCTTATTTTGTTTTGTCCCTGCCTGAAGTCTGCAGGGTGAGGCAATTTCATTAGGCAATTTGCAGGAAGTGGGGGGAAATTTCAGGGGAAGCTGACATCCCTGTAGAGATCCTTGTAGACTCCTGTTGCAGAGGGCAAGATCAAACATGTAGCTAAAGTGCCCTTTGTGCTTGCTTTTCATTTTCCAGAAGGCAGATGAAACACACACATCATCTGTCTGCTTAGGTATTTATTACTGCTGAGTAAATCTTCATTGTGTCTGTGTGTGGGTATTATTTTCCAGGTGGGAACTAGAACAGATGAAAAACAACCCTGTGTCTAGTCTAGTCTTGTTTTTTTTTTTTTTTTCCCCATTTCTTTCCCAAAGTACCAAACGAATATGCTTCTCTTCAGAGGAGTTTTTCTTTTTATTCTAGTTGAGTATTGCAGGACCACAGACAGAAGTAACATAAAAAATAAAAAAGGAAACAAAGTAATTGTGGATTTTGTATTGCCTTTTTAGAAAGGTTTTTTGGTCACAAAATAATCCAGATCAGACACATTGTTTGATTTTGCTTGGCATTTTTTCCAAGTCCGGAGCTGTGCCTGATCTCAACAGGTTAAACGCTGTAAATAAAGTCAAATCAATTCTACTAAATGGAAAGTTAATGAAAAGCCCGAATTACAATTTTTAATGGAATGCAGTTTTTAGTGTTTTCTGTAGAAAACCAGTAGTCTGCTTAGGCAGACTACCCCAGTCCTTGGAAGCAATTATGAAGTGAAATGCAATTTGATACTTGTGAAAGAGTGCTTTCACATTTTTCTTAAGAGAGATTTTCTTGAATACAGTCTCCGTTCATCTTACTCCTATTTATTTAATGGGCAAACTCTTTTATCAGAGAGTAGGAGTAACTTTCAGTTTTTCCCTGTCCAAATTATAATCTTCACATTTGTGAAACTAGGATGAAGTTTTATTTTTGTGCTGTTTAAGTGGCCATTTTACATTCAGTTCACCTTCTAAATTACCTAGCTGTCACTAAAGGAGTTTCTCCCACAGCAACTTCTCTTCTGCCTGTGTCCAATTTAGTGCTTTGAAATAATAAATTACAATGGAGGGACGTAAGCAAGAGAAACTGAGCTCTCTGCTAATTCATATCTAAAAGCTACAAAGAAAACACTGAATAAAGGGAGGAAAAGGTTTTAACATGCTCCAAATTTTTTTTCTTTTAAAGGTTTTACCCAATAAAAGCCATTTCCTTAAATTATTCCTGAGAACTTTCATGATAATCAGTTCAGTGTCCTCCCTGTTGTTTTTATGGAAAATGAAGGAAATTGTAAACGAGCTCATTTAAGTGACTTGATCAATGCCATTCAGGCAGAACTGGTAACTCATGGATTGTTCTTCAGTTTATCTGTAAACTGGGATGGTTACACCCTGCCCAGAAACCTCACGGAGCGGTGAGAGTAAAAAAAAGTCTGAAGATGAAAGCAAGCATCAGAGGAAAAGTTTTGAGAGGAGGGTGTGTATGATATATTAGTGTTTGTGAGCAGGATGGAAGTTTCCTGAAAGACATTTTGGTACTTAACCCTATTGATACAGATAGTGAGGTTACCTTTTGCATCTCTGAGCTTCTTCAAGAACTAGCAAGGAGTCAAAGTCAAATTAGAGGAAGGTCATTCTTAACCACGGCATGGAGGCAGGAAGGATTCTAAGAGTATGGCCATAGGCCTCAAAATAGCTAAAAATCTCTGCTTCTAGAGTAATGCTAGAGAATGAGGGTGTAGGCATCAAACAGACCCAGGATTGAAGCCCGGTTTGTTATTACTAATTGGGACTCCTTGGGCAACACATTTAATTTCCTGCACCTTTGTTTTCTCTCTTTATTGAGGACAATAAAATTGCTTTTCTGTGGTTCTCATCATCTGGATCTCAGCTCCATTGTCATTTCCATCTAGCAGCCTTCCCTGATCATCTGGAGTGAACCTCCTGGCCCTCTTCTCTCAAATGACCCTGTTTATTCCGAAATTATTACTTACAAGCATCTGAAATTATTTTACTCTTTCTTTCTGTTTGCTGATTTAGTGTCTTGCTTTCTTAGTAGCATAAGACATTTGAGGACTGGCATGTTGTCTGACATTTGTTGTGTTACAAGCTTGAGTGCTCAACAATTATCTGTTGGTGAACTGTTGGGATTGTGTGAGAATAAGAAAACCCCTGTCAGGGGCGCCTGGGTGGCTCAGTGGGTTAAAGCCTCTGCCTTCAGCTCACGTCATGATCCCAGGGTCCTGGGATTGAGCCCCACATGGGGCTCTCTGCTTAGCTGGGAGCCTGCTTCCCCTCTCTCTCTCTGCCTCTCTGCCTACTTGTGATCTCTGTCTGTCAAATAAATAAATAAAATCTTAAAAAAAATTATATATTAAAAAAAACCTATGTCAAGAAGTTGGCCTTGTGTCTGACACACAACCAATGAACAAATCACAGTCACTTAAGAATTGCACAGATTGTATTTAACTTTACTAGGCACTGTCCTAAACGTTTTACAGACTCCAAGTTAACTCAGTTTGTCTCTGCGTAACCTTAAGGTAGAATCCTTTAATAGGCCCCCATTTTATAGATGAGGAAACTAAGTCACAGAGAGTTTAAGTCACTCGCCCAAGATCAACCAGCTAGTAGGAGTACAGCTAGAATTCAAAGCCAGGCTAGAAACCAGACCCTTACACACGAAGTTCGCTGCCTTTGAAAAAAGATAATGATGTCGAAATTTTTATTTTGGGTGCAAAGAACATGGAACATTGCTTAGCCTAAGCGGACCTGGATCTTTGTCTTTCCCTTGATGTGGGGAAAATGTGAACGATGTCGTATTTTCTCGACCGGCGTAGTATTTTCTTAACCAGCGTGGCCCTCGCGTCCAAGCCGGTCCCCGGATGCCCAGAGAACCGCCTGCACACTCCAAGGCGGTCCTGGTCCCTGCCCAACCACGGGAGCCTCCCAGGCCTGGGCGGGCCCAGTGCAGCCGCGTGGCCTCGCGGCGCCCGGGCCCTGAGAAAAAAGTTTCCAAAAGGCGCTGCTAGGCGCTGATTGGCCGAGGCGGACGCGGTCCCGTGGCGCCGCAGCCAATAGTCGGCGCCCGCCGCGGGCGCGGGGGTGGGGGCGGTGGTCAGAGGCCCCGGCAGTGCGGTCCGCCGCTGCTGCCGCCCGTCCTCGCGGACCGAGCCGGGGTAAGTGCTGAGCTCCGGTGGCCGGGAGCGGGGACCGTCCCGGGACCGCCGCCACCACCGGGAAACTCTTTTGCCCGCCCTGGCGCCCGCCACGCCCTCGGGACCGCCGGGAGCCGCCTTGCAGGGACCCTGCTGCGCCCCTCGCTCGCGCGTCTCTTCTCCGCCGCCTGTACTCCGCGGGTCCCGGGCGCGGGGCTCAAAAATCCCGCTCTCTGCAGGCTCCTTTCCTAACTTTGTGCCTTCCCACTCTTGTGTCCTCGAGCCCAGCTCCTCGCCTTTGCCAGCTTTCTCTTCTAGCGCTGGCTGGTCTCCGACCAGCTGCCCTCGGCTCCCTCCATGACTTCCTCGGTCCTTCGTGCCCTCCTCGTCTCCAGCCCCCGCCGCCCGGCTCTTCTGCCCTCCAGCCCTCCCACCCCCACTCCAGGCTGCCCTCCTCACGCTCTTGATCTCTTCTCAGCCCCTGCCACCCCCTTTCCTCCTGCTGCCCCAGACCCTCCCTCATTCCTTGTATCCCCCCCCCCCCCCACACACCCCCCCGTCCCGCCGCCCACTACACCGTCTAGTTCAGGCCTCTTTCCAACCCCCCCGCCCCGCATCTTGGCATCTCCCTGCCTTCGGGATCGTGTTTGGAACTCTTTCCCTCTGCTTTTCTCAGATCTCTGCGGCAGGAAGGTTCAGATTTCCCGTGACAGCACTTTGGGGAAGGATTGGATAAAGGATGAAAATGCTTATTCTACAGTTTGAATGCAGTGGTGGGGCTTCCTTGCCTCCCTGAGGTCGTGGGAAATCCCGGTATCACCTTGACACCGCTTTTTGGGAAGCTGCCCTATCTTCTCCAGTCATCTCAGGTTCTCTGCCTCCTGAGGGTCTGAGCTCCCCTGATTTCTTTGTCAAGGCTTTGTACCAGGTTGTGCCTCTTTCTACTTTTAGCCTCCAGGTCCTTTTTAACTTGCTTTCTAAAGAAGCGGCCTTTACAGGGTGCACTGGGCAGAGATTTGTCATTTTCTATGCTGGTTTTGTTTCTGTATTCTTGGATAGGATGGCATTTTAGGACCCAGATAGGGTGCTTTGAAGAGCAATTGGATCCCAGTGACTGACTCCCAGAGCCACTTACCTGACCCCACCGCCACACTGGTCTTTAACCAGGTTTGAAACTTAAGTCTTTCCCCTTACTGCGTCCTTTGTGTGGGATTAGATCCCAGAAGTCTCAGGGGTGTCCCATTGGCATATTTTGTCTATCCTCTCATTTTGGATAATAGTTTCTTAACTTGGCTTATTCTGTTTAGATGTTATTTTTGTTTCCAAAGTGTGTTCTTTTGCCTTAGAACGTGTGAGCCCAGAGAGATTACACTCCCTTTCCTTACCAGCTAATTTCCTAAAGTGAGTTGGCCTGTGTACAGAAGGATGGTGTCAGCAGCTCAGACTTCCTGCACCTGGTACTGATATAGGTGCTTTCTGTCTGCCTCTCCCAGTAGTGCTTTAGCACTTAGTAGGTATTTGGAAATGTTCAAGAAGGGACAGAGGAGAGGGAAATCGCAGAAGGAAAACATCTTTCCCTGGCATCTTTTTTTTTTTCTTTTTAAGATTTTATTTATTCGACACAGCACAAGCAAGAGGAGTGGCAGGCAGATGCAGAGGGAGGGGGAGAAACAGCCCCCCTACCTCTAGAGCAGGGTGCCAATGCAGGGCTCGATCCCAGGACCCGAGAATCATGACCTGAGCCAAAGGCAGATGCCCATCCAACAGAGCCACCCAGGCGCCCCTTTTCCTGGCATCTTGATTCAGTAGAATAAAATTATCTTGGAACAATAGCCCTCCTATTTTCTTTTCATTCTATATTTTGACCTGAGTTTAAGCTTTTTAAATTTTCAAAGGCAGCATATGCTTACTGTAAAAATCAATGGATATAGTAGTGTTCCCCATACAGGTTCTTATCTCAGTGTCTGCTTTACCCCCGTTTGGTACATGCTTCCAGACCCTTTTAGATTCATGCATGCAGGGAGAGCGAGATGCCTTTATTTTTATTTATTTTTAAAGATTTTAACTTATTTGAGAGAGCAAAAGAGAGATTGAGAGAACTAGTAGGGGGAAGGGAAGAGGGAGAAGCAGACTCCCTGCACAGCAGGGAGCCTGATGTACGACTGCATCCCAGTATCCTGGGATCATGACCTGAGCCCAGGGCAGATGCTTAACTGACTGAGCCACCCAGGCACCCAAGAGATACCTTTATAAACAAAATTGGCACTCTTTCCTAACGTATCATGAACTTTCTTCCATATTAGTTCATATACTTCTTAACAACTGCGTAATTTTCCAAATCAGCCCTCTGTTGACAGTTGTTTTCTTCAGTTTTCCACATACGTGAATGATGGCATACACCCTTGAGTATATGTCCTTGCATGCCTATCTAAGTATTTTTGGAGGAAGATCATTATAGCCTTTGAAAGCCCAGAGACAGAAGCCAGACTTGCTGACTCTTGACTGGTTTTGCCCCTGTGATGCCACTTCTGCAAAAAGTGGAGCCTGCGTCATAACCTAGGAGCTGCTGAAGCAAGTGCAGACACTTGGCCCGGGTCTTTCTGTCCCCTCCCTTTCCCTTCAGCTCCTCCCTTTGTTTTGATTGGGAAGAACTGAGGTTGGCGTGGAGAAGGGCGGTGAGTTAATTCTTGATAGTTTATACCTGTCTGCTGCCTCCTGACCAGCTGTGCTGGCTTTCTTCACTCCTAGGAAAGCCAAAGGAAAATGCTTTGTTTTCTCTAGGGTTTTGAAATCAAAGGTGGGGTGGAAGATCTAAGTTATGCAAAACAGAGAAGACAAACTTTTTGAACTTTTTGCTCCCAGCTTGTTCTTTCTTGCCTGCTGTGGCACATACTTTTGAGGTGCCCATTAGGTTTGTCCACAGAGCTCCTAGGGCATGATGGCCTGATGGTGTATTGAGAACACAAGCACAGAGGCAGAATGCTTATAACCTTTGTAGCACAAATGAAATACAGGCATACAGCGCTTATTTTTAAGATAGTGGGTACAGAGTTGTATATACCAAGACCCGTGCCTGTCAGAGTGTGTTTGAAAGGACTGGACCAGATGAAATGAGTGCATCTGACCTCTGAAGAGTCTCTTGGCAACCCCAAGGAGACCATGAACTTGAATTCAAAGACCCTCCAGTCACCCCTGCCCACCCTACCCCCGAACTTGCACTTGGGTCTGGTTTGCCTCTGCTGTCCACTTGCACCTCTGGAGATGGCCAAGGCGTGCAGTGTTTCTGCTCCGGCTTTTGCTTCTAAGAACCCAAGCGATGCCTCGCTTACTCTTAATAGTCAAATGGCTTAAAGGGGTTAAAATTGAAGTTACTAAACACCCCGCATACGGTGGTTCAATTCAGTATGGAGAAGGAGTTTTTCCAAGCCATATTACCTGCTTTCTATGGCAAAGAATAATGCACATTGGAACTGTGAGACATTTTCAAATGGCAAAGGAAAAAGCGTACATTTTTAAGACTGTTGTTTGAGAGGCGCCTGGGTGCCTCAGTGGGTTAAAGCCTCTGCCTTCCGCTCAGGTCATGATCCTGGGGTCCTGGGATCGAGCCCTGCATTGAGCTCTCTGCTCTGCAGAGAGCGTGCTTCCTCCTCTCTCTCTGCCTGCCTCCCTGCCTACTTGTGATCTCTCTCCCTATCAAATAAATAAATAAAACCTTAAAAAAAGGAAGACTTGTTTGAGAACAAAATGAAGTTCAGCTGTTACTTCTTCTTAGTCTATGGTATATTTTTTCCTCTTCCCTAAGGCTTGTTGTTAAAATGCAGGGGGGGTTCGGGTTGACATGCCAGGCCTGTGGTTTTTGCCCTTTAGTGGAAGCAGCTACAGACGGCTCAGCCTGTGACAGGAGCTCAGGTCTCTGCTTAGCTTCTTGCCACCACCCCACCCAATCCCAAACCAGAACCTTCCCATCAGTGCGGTTGTAATTAGAGCCTCTGGCATAATGGAAGTGCCTCCTAAAACATCTCAAATTCATTCCTGAGGATTAAGTTTTAGTCCTCACTGGCTGTGTTTTATTTAGGAAGCTTTTTTCCTAAAACTCATCTGTCCCAAGAGTGCAGTTATGAAACCCCAAGGATACTATCAGATGTTCCTTACCACATACACCTGGGCAAGGGGCTGTTTCCAACATGGTATCCTCTCCTCCTGCCCTTTCCCACTAATGAGATGACACTCTGCTGCTGAGGGAATGTAGAGTTTTCCCCGTCCTGACAAGCCTCTTAGGGATTTACAGATGTCAACTATAAGCTAGTCTTCAGAGGTTTCTGGCTTCTTGCCTTTCTTTAACCTCACATCTCCTACCTGCTAGTGGTCCATCTCTAGCTTCCCTTTTGCTCATTCATTCCACAAGCATTTATTGAGTTCCTGTTATATGCCAGGCACTGTTCTAGGCATTGGGATAAAAAAGCAAGATGGAGAAGGCCCCTGTGCTCAACAATTGACATTCCAGTGGGGGAAGATAAAAACAAAACTCAAAATGATGAAATAAGACCAAACAGAGGTTAATGTAGTAGTGAAGGGCTAGAGGGGATATTGGGTGGATTATTCAAATAGGGTCTCTCTAGGGAAGACATTCCAGCTGAGATCTGAATGACAAGAAGGATATCTGGGCAGAGATCTGAGGGAGAAGCATTCTAGGCAGAGAACAGCAAGTGCAAAGGTCCTGAGGTAAGAACAAGCTGGATGTTCTCAAGGAACAAAAAGAAGGCCATCTGGCTTAAACATAAACTAATGAAGTGGGTAGGGTTGGGGGATGTTTAGAAAAGTAGACAGGAACTAATTACATTGAATATTGGATATGATGTTTTCCCAAATGTCAGGAAAAGCCAGTTCACATTCATTTTCCCTAGTCCCTCAGTTTTTTACCCTTTTACACGGACTCCCGTGCCATGCGGTTGAGACCGTCCTCTATAAGGTAGTGGCCACAGGGTACTCCGTTGCATGGGTTCTTGACACTTACAGGGGCTGGTTTGGTGACTTCATATCAAATGAGTTCTGGGCTCATTAGAGCTTAAGACTTGAACAGGGAGTACTGGACCTAAATTTCCCCTTACCCGTTGCCATGTTATTTGCTGTTCACTGTAGGTGCTCTGTTCTTTTTACTTTCAGCAAGCAACATTTTTCACTGCTTGCTTTAATTAGGACCCTCCATGGCAGCCATCCAACCCTAACTGGTATAGTCAAGAAAAGGAGTTGGTTATCTCTCATAACTTTAAATCAGGTATGACTGGGTCCAGGTGTTCAAATGATACCATCAGGACCCAGTGTCTCTACCTCTTGGCCCTGCTTTCCTCTCTTTTGGCTTCATTCTCTGGCAGACTCTTCCCTTGTGATGGAAAGATGATCACTGGCAGCTCCAAGCTTACTTCCTACCCTCTTACCCTAGTGGGAAGAGTTTTTCTTTCTTTTTTCTCCTAGCTTTGTGGAAATATAATTGATAGAGAACGTTGTGTAAGTTTAAGGTCTCTAACATGATGGTTTGATAAATGCATATATTATGAAACCATTAACACAGTAAGGTTCATTAACACTTCCAGAGTGTCTCTCTTGAAGACTCTGCAAAAGCCCTAGGCCTGGACACCGGTTTGCTCAGCTCTAGGTAGGGTCACCCCTGAACCAATCACTGGCCTCTTTTGAATTAGACCCGTCCTGTTATTGGCTCGGCTTGGGTTCAGCCCACCTCTGAGCCATCCCTTCTGTAATGGGTCTCCTCCTAGATGCTGGTGTCAGTAGATCTGAATCACATGGAATGAATGGCGGGTTGGTTTCCCCGAGATTGGAGTGGTGGGACAGAAATATGGAAGAAGAAATGCTGGACTGGAAAAAGATCGACAAATGAATAGCTTTCTACTCTTTCCAGCTTCTGTGCACCCATCCAGCTTTCAGAGAAACTGTTCCCCAGAGGGGGATGGGTGGGGCACATGGCATGTTGTCTCTGAATGAGAGAAGGGAGAGAAATCAGGAAGGAGAGATGTGAGTATAGGTACTAGCACAACCAATTATCAAAAAGGGCAGTGCTTAAATATAATTGTTTGATTTTTTTTTTTTAACCAGGGATCCAGAAGTTGGTGATTGTGTCCATGTCCACACTAACATATTTAGCTGAATGAATCATATTTGTAGTCAAAAATATAGCTTGTTATGGGGCACCTGGGTGGCTCAGTCAGTTAAGCGTCCAACTTTTGATTTAGGCTCAGGTTGTGATTCACGGTCCTGAGACCAAGCCCTGTGCTCTGAGCTGGAGTGGGCTTAAGATTCTCTCCCTCTGTGCCCCCCCATCCCCCCCTCAAAAAACCAAAATAGCTTGTTAATGCCTTGCAAAATGAGGGGTTGCTTTCATTCTTTCGTTCCTAAGGACACCAGATGGTGAGCTCCCTTGAGGGAAGGAAGGGACCTTGAAGATATCTCATTTGAACTTTTGACAAGCTCAGAGCCTTAAATTCAGAGAATAAGCGGTTATTCGGAGAGGCTTTATCAGTAGGGAGTCTGTAAACTGCCCTCTGTTCCTAGAGATCCATTCCCCAGTCTGCTCTGGATCTCTCCAAGTCCTCAGAGCCAATTCCCACCCCCTGCCCTCTAGCTACTGTCCTGTTTGTCTGCTTTTCACACCCAGTTCTCCAAAATTTCCTCTACTTCCTCTTCTTCACCTCCTCAAAACTCCTCCACCCAATTTATTCCTCCTCCCCACTCCACTGTGTTGAAACTACTCTTGCTCACATCACCAGTGACCGACATTTCGCTGAGTCTCCTGGGTATTTTCCAGTCCTTATCTTAGTTTCTGTGTTATATCATGGCTACTGTGGACTGGTGCTTCTTTTCCCCTTGACACCGTCTGTCTACTCCCAGGACAGCTCACGGTCTGATTCTTGTCTCTTCATTTCTCTCCTGTCTCCTTAGATGACTGTTTCTTTCTTGGCCTACCAGCCAAACATTGGCATTCCTCAGAGCTCCATAAATAGTCCTTACTAGATTTTCCAGCAGTTCCATCACGAGAAAGAGGGAAGAAACAGCTACAGGCTCCTGACTCTTATATTTGTATCAGCCCAGAATTCACCCCTGAGTTTCAGCTCTCTTGTTGCTTCTTCGTGTGTCACTGGCATGTCAAACTATCCCAAACTAGGCTCATTATCCTCTCGCCCCAAAGACTTTCTGTTCTCCTGGTGGTGGGGGTGGTCGTGGCACCAGTTGTCTAAACCATAACCCCAGGAGAGGTCTTCCCCTCCTTTTTTTTTTCCTTGCCCCCCTTCCCCAAATGAATAACATCTGGGTAGCTTTATGTATTCATGAACTTGAGGGTGGGCTGTATTTTGGCTGGGCTTGGTTCCAGTTTTTGGCAACGTTTTATCATTTAATGCGACATAAAATTCAGGAAGGTGCCCTCCCCCTCATTGAAGAGGAGCTCTTTTACCAGACATGGGTAATAATGTTAAAGCTTTCTCTCCTAGACACCATGCCACAAGAAGAGTGAGCTCTTGCTGTTTTCACCATGGAGGAGTCGGGAAAGACTTTCAGCTCTGGGGAGGAAGAGGCAAACTACTGGAAAGATATGGCTATGACCTACAAGCAAAGGTCAGTCTTCCAAAGTCCACCCTGCTTTTTCTTCCCATTGGGGTGCCACGATTCATTTGGGGGCCTCGTAGGCGACAAGCACTCCAAAGGACTTGACACGCATTCAGTCCGTTAAATCTCAAAATTGCCTTGTGAGGAAACCATTATCACCCCATTTTTCAAATAAGGAACTGAGCCTCAGGGAAGGTCAGTAACTTGCCCAAGGAGGTCACACCAGCCTTTAAGCGGCTGGGCTAGAATGTGAGCGCCAAAGCCTCTGGTCCTAAGAAACTGGTGTGTTCCTGCCCATCCTATTTCCTGGCAGGGTTTCATCCATTATGGGTGCCCTATTTGGTCAGTCCCTGTGCCTGACCATATGGGTTGTTGCAGATTATAATTGTGAAACCAGCGATTTGGTGTCCCTATCTGGGAGTAGAGAGAGTGTGTGTGTGTGTGTGTCTGTGTGTGTGTCTGTGCGCATGCGTGCACGCGTGTAGCACTGTTTCTTTTTATTTCTCATGGACTCTTACACTGTCCATGTGGAGGTCTTATTCCAGTCCCTTTCATTTCCTTATTTATAATTAAAGATAACTCAGGTTTAGTACTTTTTTTTTTTTAAGACTTTATTTATTTATTTGACAGAGATCACAAGCAGGCAGAGAGGCAGGCAGAGAGAGGGAGGAAGCAGGCTCCTCGCTGAGCAGAGAGCCTAATGCAGGGCTCGATCCCAGGACCCTGAGGTCATGACCTGAGCTGAAGGCAGAGGCTTTACCCACTGAGCCACGCAGGCACCCCAGGTTTAGTATTAAAAAAAAAAAAAAAGAATGTTGCTTGACTTTTGAGGATTGAGGGGCTGGAACTGGGTGTCGAGTTGGCCAGGGGCACACTGTAGTGGTGGGATAAGCACACATTTATATGAGGCCCAATTCCTGCTTACAAGTAAATCTGCAGAGGGTACACAGTCCCAAGTATATTTACCCCACGTTGAGTTCAAAAACAAAATATATTGAATGAATGAGCGGGGAGTGAATTGGTAAAGAAATGGCTTTGGAGATCGGCAGCCCTGGGTTCACGTGCGAGCTCCGCTGCTGACTCACATCAGAAGACCTTGAGACAAGTCTTTTTTTTTTTTTTTTTTTTTTTTTTTTTTAAGATTTTATTTATTTATTTGACAGAGATCACAAGTAGGCAGAGAGGCAGGCAGAGAGAGAGGAGGAAGCAGGCTCCCTGCTGAGCAGAGAGCCTGATGTGGGGCTCGATCCCAGGACCCTGGGATCATGACCTGAGCTGAAGGCAGAGGCTTTAACCCACTGAGCCACCCAGGCGCCCTGAGACAAGTCTTACCTGTAAAATGAGGGGAAGGCTAGTTTCTGCCTGGAAAGGGGCTGAAAAACCAGCGAATCCATGCCTCACCCTCGACAGCCCGGGAGGCTGCTCGGTACACGATTGCCTAACTCATCTGGGACTTCCGCAGGGCAGAGAACACGCAGGAGGAGCTCCGAGAATTCCAGGAGGGCAGCCGCGAATACGAAGCCGAACTGGAGACGCAGCTGCAGCAGGTTGAAACCAGGAACAGGGACCTCCTGTCGGAAAATAACCGCCTCCGCATGGAGCTGGAGACCATCAAGGTGAGAGGGCACAGACGGCAGGTCCAGGGACGCTTCCAGCGTGGCGTGTGTGCCTGGGAAAGTGAGCCCGGCCGTGCAAGGGGCCGCGGCCAGCCCCGGGCACGCTTCCCGCTCCCTCTAGGCCTGCTGGGTGGAAGTGGTGCCGGAAATCTTTTCTGTCCCCATTGGGAGGAGCTCTGTGACAAGCAAGTCACACCCGTGTCCCCACGGTCACCCTTGGCTGTCTACCGCACCCCCAGCAGGCAGGTGAAAGCCAGAGTATGGAGTGTCCCTGGATTTGTTCACCTTCAGGTCATACAAAGTCCAGATTATGCTGCCCAGTGTGGTAGCCCCCAAGCTACTAGGGAAGAAGAACCAAGGGCCAAGTTTGGTGGGTAGTGGAAGCAGATGTGCTCCTAGCGTTCTGGAAGCTTTGTGAGGAAGACAAAGCTAACCCCAAAAGAACTTAAAAGATGCTCAGTTACACAGTACTGATCGAGAGATGCTTCTGCGAGAAGGGTCTTCATGAGCTGGAGACAGCTTCATGGGGAAGCTGGGAGGGATTTGAACTGGTGCTTGAAGGTAAGGGGAGTGTGTGTGCACGTGCACACGTCCCCAGCAGGTTGGGGCAGAGGGGTTCGTGGAGAGTTAATCCGGACCTTCTGTAGACCGAGACAAGGATGGATGTCTAGCAGACTTGAGCATCCTGGCTTTAGTCACAGCTGGGAAAAAGTGGGATCCACAGTGGATTGGGAATTGAGAGATGGGAGGGGCAGAGGAAAAATCCCAAAGACATCAGAAGCTGAGCAGTGGAGTGTAAGCTTTTCATGTCATAGACCGCAGAGCCCACACTGGACATGTGCAGGTCTGACCCACTGACATTTTTTGCTTAGCCTTCTGTGGCTTTTATTCAATGTTCTATCATGACAGTTATCAAGCACACTGCAAGGTTGAAAGAATTTTCCAGGGACCACCTGTATATCCACCACCTAGGCTCTGCCAATAACCTTTGCCATACTTTTTTTTTTTTTTTGCCATAATTGATTTTTATTTCCTGTTTATCCATCCATCAATCTGGTTTTCTAATGCATTTCAAAGTGACTTGCAGACAGCTGCATGCTTCTCTGTAAATACTTCAGCTTGCGGTTACTAAATAGAGTTGAGGGTTTGTTTACAGTTCATTCTTTTGATAGTAAAATTGATATCTGTAGTGCTTTTTATTTTTTATTTTTTATTTTATTTTTTTAAAGATTTTATTTATTTGTCAGAGAGAGAGAGGGAGAGAGAGCGAGCACAGGCAGACAGAATGGCAGGCAGAGGGAGAATCAGGCTCCCTGACTAGCAAGGAGCCCAATGTGGGACTCGATCCCAGGACGCTGGGATCATGACCTGAGCCAAAGGCAGCTGCTTAACCAACTAGCCACCCAGGCGTCCCTGTAGTGTTTTTTAAAGATTTTATTTAGAGAGTTCCCATGTGAGCTGGGGGAGGGGCGGAGGGAGACTCTCAAGCCCACTTCACCCTGAGTACAGAACCCCACGTGGGGCTCGATCTCAGGACCCTGAGCTCATGACCTGAGCCAAAATCAAGAATTGGATGCTTAACCAATGGAGCCACCGAGGCGCCCCTAGTGTTTAAGCAGTTAACATTCAAAGTTGTGAGTCTTCGTATAAAAATCTGGATTTTTGACTTTCCTTAAGAATCAGCATGCCAGGCCTCCATTCTTCCACACCAGCGAAAAGCCAGGTAGCAGTGTCCGAGACGGAGCAAGCAGTCCCCACTAATTTCTCCCCACCTCCATCCCTGACACACAGGGATAAGTGCCCTTTGCTTTATCCCTACACCTGGCCCGCACCTCTCATTTTTTTTTTTTTTTAAGATTTTATTTATTTATTTATTTATTTGTCAGAGAGAGCACGAGCACACAAGTAGGCAGAGAGGCAGGTAGAGCTGGAGAGAGAAGCAGGCTCCCCACTAAGTAGAGAGCCCGATGTGAGACTTGATTCCAGACCCTGGGATCATGACCTGAGCCGAAGGCAGCGGCTTAACCTACTGAGCCACCCAGGCATCCCTGTGCCACTCGTTTTGTGGACAGCCCAACCCCTGCCACAGGCATTGAGGAGTCATCATGCTTAACTTGAAGGGGACTCAGGGAGTGGAAGCTGTGTGGAAGGCAGATGGGCGGTATGAACCACAGTCAGGAGCGGGACCGGGCCTCCACAGAGGCAGACCCCCGTCAAGCAATGATGAAGTATGGGTGCCTGGGTGGCTCAGTGGGTTAAAGCCTCTGCCTTCAGCTCAGGTCATGATCCCAGGGTCCTGGGATCGAGCCCCACATCGGGCTCTCTGCTCAGCAGGGAGCCTGCTTCCTCCTCTCTCTCTCTGCCTGCTTCTCTGCCTACTTGTGATCTCTGTCTGTCAAATAAATAAATAAAATCTTAAAAAAAAAAAAAAAACAATGGTGAAGTAACTGCTTTAAAACCAAGCCCTTGAACCTGCAAACGCCTCTTCATGACAGCCGCCTGACAGATGCCGGAGATGCAGAGAACAGAGCAGGAGAAGGAAGAGAAATGTCCAAGGGAACAGAACTGCCACCGGGGCACCTGGCTGGCTTCACTGTTGGAGCGAGCAACTCAGGGCCTCGGGGTCGTGAGTTCGAGCCTGAGATTACTTTAAAAAGTAATTTAAATTTAAAAGTAATTTTAAATTTAAATTTAAAAAAGTAATCTTGAGCCCCAGATTACTTTAAAAAATAGATAAACTGCCACCAGCAAATATGTGTCAGTCACCTCAGAGAAATGTTCTCTATGGACAATTCTTGACAACTGGCTTATTCATCTCAAGTTGAATGAGAAGGCCTTTAAAGGATCAAACAGAGCGTCTGTGGATGCCTCCATCAGCTGACCGCTTATTAGAATTAGCCCCAAATGAAAGCACAATATTGAGCAACGGCTTTTCATGTCCGCAAGTTCAAAGGCCATCATTTGAATCTTTATGCTGGCGGGGAAGCCCGTTAACTGCATCTTGGAAACTGCATCTGAATTGGGGTTAATGACAGCGGCTCCCCGGCGCTCCTATTTTGTTTGGAGATATAACCAGAGAAAGGGTGTGAGGGCCTCAGAGCCAGCCCTGGGAACTGGTCCTTGCATGGGGCTTGGTCGGCCCCTCCTTGCCGGAGAGGAATCGCTTGCTCCGCTCATGGCCAGGAAACAGAGCATCAGAGGGGACGGAGCAGGGGGAGGATGTGGCATGCCCTCCCTGTCCCCACCCTGTAAATGATCTGCTTGTTCTGTGGGAGCTCTTCTTACGGTGCTCTCACCACGCCTCTCTGGCCCAGGCACCATTATGTCATTCTCCCCCCACATCCCGACTGTTTTCTAGCAACGCCTGTGTTTACTCAGTTGAGGAAAGAAGAGTGTCTGTTTTTCAAGCTTCCTTTCTTTTATTTTATTTTATTTTATTTTATTTTATTTTACTTTATTTTATTTATTTGACAGAGCACAAGTAAGCAGAGCGGCAGGCAGTGGGAGAGGGAGAAGCAGCCTCTCTGCTGAGCAGGGAGCCCGATGTGGGGCTCAATCCCAGGACCCTAAGATCATGACCTGAGCCAAAGGCAGCTGCTTAACCAACTGAGCCACCCAAGCACCCTGTTTTGTTTTGTGTGTGTGTGTTTTGGTTTTTTAAGATTTTAATTTTTAAGTAATCTCCACACCCAATGTAGGGCTCGAACTCACAACCCTAAGATGAAGGGTCGCATACTCTACCAACTGAGCCAGCGAGCTGCCCTCAAACTTTCTAGTTAGACTTTGGGCCTTTCCTGTGGGACGTGTTTCGTGTGTAGGTGAAGGGAAAGCAGTGAGGGTGTTTGGTGAAGGAAGGTGGTTTGAAAGAGTAACCAGAGCAGAATGTGTGTGTGCGTGTATATATGTGTGTGTACACGTGTGCGTGTGCGATCAATACCTGTGGCCCGGGAGGAGATGTTTGAGGGCAGTTTAGCACAGTTGTTTAATGAGCTCTAGCCCCAGGGGCCCAGATTGGATCTTGGCTCAGTCATTTGCTACCAAATAACTTTGGGCTGATGAAGTAGCCTCAGTTCACATCTCTGAAGTAGCATTAAATGAGCCAACCCAAGTATTATCCTGAGCCCAGGAGCTGGCCCAGAGTAAGTAAGCATGCAATGAACAAATGTTAGCTGACTGAAACTGGGCAGTGACAGATCGTGACGTCATCTGACCCTTCCTCGCCTTGGAAAGTACTAGTCAGATCATACCAAGCTCTCTTGATAATTAATAACGGGTTGTGGGTTTTGTTTTGTTTCCTTCCTTCCTTCCCCCAAAGGTCCAGAAGTCCTCTTTAACTCCCCCATGCTGCAAGGAGCGTGTCGTCGGTCACAAAGTTAGAACAGTTGTGAGACTAAGTACATGGTTTCCTGCTCTTAGGGCGAGGCACAAGCCACCAAAGTTATTGTGATTCCTGATACGCAATCCGGGGATGTCACGGGAAGTGGGTTTGTGTTGCCTTTGTGGATGAGGCGTGGAGAGGTCTGTGTGGCTTCCCATGGCTGTGGACACCTTGAGCGAAGTAATTGTGTTGAAGATTGTTGGGGGCTTCTTGACACCCAGAGGCTGCAGGGACCAAGTTCGGGAGGGGGCCGGGTATAAGATGCTTGTGGGCCAGAAGGTAGGAAGCACTTGGGACATAACGACTTTGAATGGTGGCCCCTCGTTCTTGCCATCTGCCCTCCCTCGCTTCAGAGTCATGACTGTGGAGAGAAGGTTCTACTGGCTGAGGTTAGTCGTGTGTCCTGTCTCTGGTGGGAGGCTGCAAGAATGTCTGGAGCCTCCTTAGTGTGATATGAAGACCGTTCCCATAAAGCTCCTAAGATAAGGGAGAGCTAGAGCCGCTAAAGAAATCGGTGCAGCCCAGTCGTGCACCCAGGGAGGGTCGGACACTCACAAGCTCACAACAACAGTGTTCGCTCCAACAGAGGAGCGTCCCCGCTGAGCAGGATTAATCCCTCAGTATTTTGAAGAAGTGACAGGGAAAGGAGATAAGCACAGCTTATGAGAAGTTTTTAAATCCCACGCTCCGTGTCGATTTTGTCCTCCAGGAGAAGTTTGAAACGCAGCACTCGGAAGGCTACCGGCAGATCTCAGCCTTGGAGGACGACCTTGCCCAGACCAAAGCAATTAAGGATCAACTTCAGAAATACATCCGAGAGCTGGAGCAAGCAAACGATGACTTGGAAAGAGCAAAACGGTACGTCGGAAAGGAGAGGACAGGTTTGGGGCTGCACTTGTGTGGCCGTTGGCAGGTGAATGTCAGGAGGCGGCATTTGGGCTAAGACCGGGGGATGCGGAGACATCATCCAGGAAAGGGTATGAGGTGAGAACATCCCAGGCAGAAGGACAAGCATGTGCTCCACACCGCCCTAAGGTCAACGTGTGCAGAGAACAGGATTTTTTTTTTTAAGATTCTATTTATTTGGGCAAGAACAAACAATAAAGCTTTTTGCAGCAAATAAATAAATAAATATTTTTGCAGCCAAACAAAAAATTTTATTTATTTGAGAGAGAGTGAGCATGAGCAGGGGAGTGGGACAGAGGCAGAGGGAGAAGGAGATGCCCTCCTGAGCAGGGAGCCCGACATGGGGCTTGAACTCAGGACCCCGGGACCATGACCCAAGCTGAAAGGCCGACACTTAACCGACTGAGCCACCCAGGCACCCCAAGAACAGGATTTCTTAAATTGACGTTCTTTTGTTCAGCAGAATACTAACAATTGTAACATTTATTGAATAACTACTCTGTGCCAGGCCCCCTTTTTTTGTTCAATGAAAACACTTTAAAAATTAGATATAAATTGGGGCACCTGGGTGGCTCCGTGGGTTAAAGCCTCTGCCTTCAGCTCAGGTCATGGTCTCAGGGTCTTGGGATCGAGCCCCGCATTGGCCTCTCTGCTCAGCAGGGAGCCTGCTTCCCCCTCTCTCTCTGCCTGCCTCTCTGCCTACTTGTGACCTTTGTCTGTCAAATAAATAAATAAAAACCTTAAAAAAATAGATATAAATTACTTATAGTGGTATGTACAGATTTTAAGCATACAGTTCCATCATTTTGAGCAAATCGTGTCTATGTTCATTGCATGCTCTTGTTAAGATATGGAACCTTTGTGTTGCCCCCATAGTCCCCTGCGTTCCTGTTAATAATAATATTATTACTAGTTTAAATAGGCTTCACACCCAGCATGGAGCCCGGTGCGGGGTTTGAACTCAGAACCCTGAGATCAAGGCCTGAGCTGAGATCAAGAGTCAAACGCTCAACCAACTGAGCCCCCAGGTGTCCCATCTCCTGCATTATTTTTTAGGGGTTGCTTTGGGATCATAGCATACACTTTGTCGTACCACTTCCTGTAAATTACAACAGCCTTGCAGTCTTACAGTTGCATTTTTATTATCCTTGAACTTTCTGCTATACCCATAATACTGTTAAGTCTACAAATGCTGTGGATTCCACAATACGTTGCTATAATTTTTGCTTTTTTTTAATTTTTTAAAGATTTTACTTACTTATTTGACAGAGATCACAAGTAGGCAGAGAGGCAGGCAGAGAGAGAGAGAGAGAAGGAAGCAGGCTCCCCGCTGAGCAGAGAGCCCAGTGTGGGGCTCGATCCCAGGACCCTGAAATCATGACCTGATCCAAAGGCAGAGGCTTTAACCCACGGAGTCACCCAGGTGCCCCATAATTTTTGCTTTAAAAAGCCAAGTATATTTTAAAGAAATGAAAGTAAAAAGATGGGCTTTCATATTTACCCACATAGGTACCATTTCTGGTTCATTACTTCCTAAGAACCTGGGTTTCCCCCTGGTACCCTCTCCCTTCAGCTTGAAGAACTTCCCTTAGGATTTCTTGCAGCACAGGCCTGTGCACAGTGAAGTCTCCTTATTTTAGTTTATCGAAGATGTCCTTCTTTTCCTTTCATTCTTGAAAGGTACATCCACTGGATGTAGAATTCTGGGTTGACAGGTTTTTTTTTTTTTTTTTTTTTTTCTCATTCAGTGGATTGTTCCACTGTCTTGTGGTTTCCTTGGTTCAGGTCGGAAGTTAGTGGTCATTTGAATAGCTACTTTCCAGTATATAATGTGTTTTTTTCTGGCTGCTCTCAGATTCTCTCTTCATTTTTTGTTTGCTGCAGTTCATGATACGCTTCGATTTTTTTTATTTATTTAAAGATTTTTATTTACTTATTTGACAGAGAGAGAGATCACAAGTAGGCAGAGAAGCAGGCAGAGAGAGGGGAGGAAGCAGGCTCCCTGCGGAGCAGAGACCCCAATGCAGGGCTCGATCCCAGGACCCTGGGACCATGACCTGAGCCGAAGGCAGAGGCTTTAACCCACTGAGCCACCCAGACACCCACGCTTCGATTTTATATGTACTTCACATTTTTTTAAATTGTTGGATTTAACCAGAATTGATTTTTTTTTTTAATTTCCTTTTAATCTCTTCAGCCAACATGGGGCTTGAACTCACACCCCTGAGATTGAAAGTTAGCTGCTATACCAACTGAGGCAGCCAGGCGCCCCTATTATGTATTTATCTTGATATGTATTTATCTTGATATCTGGGCTTCTTTAGTCTGTAAATTTCTCTTTTTGCTTAACTTTGGTCATCATTTCTCAAAGATTTGTGCTGCCCCATTTTCTCTCTCCTGGCCTTCTGGGACACCAACTATGCACACATAAGTCCTTTTGATATTGTCACACAGCCTCTTCCTTTCTCCCCCCCCCCCCCAATCTTTTTTTCTTTTGGTTCTTCAAATTGGATAATTTCTATTGATCTGGTTTCAAGTTCACTGACTCCTCTCCAATCTGCTGATAAGCCACTTCCAATAGTGTGTTTAGAGATCGTATTTTCAGTTCTGAATTTCCTTTTTTTTTTTTTTAAGATTTCATTTATTTGTTTGAAGAGCAGGAGAGAGCACAAGCAGGGAAGTAGCAGTCAGGTGAGGGAGAGGGAGAAGCAGGCTCTTAGCTGAGCAGGGAGTTTGATGTGGGCCTTGATCCCAGGACTCTGGGACCATGACCTGAGCAAAAAGCAGATGCTTAACTGATTAAAGATTTATTTATCTGAGAGAGAGAGAGCACATGAGCAGAGAGAGAGAGAATCCCAAGCAGACTCCCCACTGAGTGCAGAGCCTGACATGGGGCTCAATCTCACAACCCTGAGATCATGACCTGAGCCAATATCAAGAGTCAGACACTTAACAGACTGAGCCACCCAGGCGCCCCTGTCTTTATATTCTTGTACATAGCTACAGTACTACTTTAAAGTCCTTTTCTGCTAATTCTAATAACATCTTGGCTATCTTAGAGCTATTTCCAGTGATTGCCTTTTCTCCTGAGTTTGGGTCCCATTTTTTTGTGCTCTTCACGTGTTGTGTTGAGTAATCTTGAATTCTGGACATTGTGAATGATGTGTTGCAGAAACTATGGATTCTGTTTTTGATTTTTTTTTTTCCCTTGGTCTATTAACTAGGTTCAACTAACACTCCCAACTTCCCGTTTCGTGGGAAGTAGCTGAAATCTGTTTGATTCTCTTAGCCTTAACCAGGCTGCCTCAGGTCTGCTAAGCATATGTATGGCTCAGGGATTAGCCCAAGATGTGGGAAGACTTTAGATGAGAATTTGACTGTAATGGTGACTTTCTTTCACCGGAGCTATTGGCAAAACACTGGCAGAGATGTGACATTCACCCACTGCTGTTTCTTTCTTCTGAGTATTGGCTCCCGTTGTTGCCCGTGCCTTCAGAACGTGGCTGTTGGACCCAGAGTTTCTAGTTGTAATCTCTGGCAGCTTTGTTTGCTCTGATACAAACCACCTTAGCATGATCAGAAGTGGGATCTCTTTTCTCATCCATTTGTCAGAGCTCTTTTTTTGCTTTTTTTTTTATTTTTTAAAGATTTTACTTATTTATTTGACAGACAGAGATCACAAGTAGGCAGAGAGGCAGGCAGAGGCGGGGGGGGGAAGCAGGCTCCCCAGTGAGCAGAGAGCCTGATGCGGGGCTCGATCCCAGGACCCTGAGATCATGACCTGAGCTGAAAGCAGAGGCTTTAATGCACTGAGCCACCCAGGTGCCCCCTCATTCTGGATTCTTTATTTTGGTGGAGTGTATGATTTATGAATTACTAAACTAATACCGTAATGACTTGATTACCATGACTTTGTAGTATATTCACAAGCCATGGGGCATACCATTGTTTTCACCTGTGTTTCTTTGATCAAAGCAAGTCACATGGCCCAAGTCAGGAGGTGGGACAGTACATTCCAAGCACAGTGAGGCCGTGGCAAGGATGTGGGTGTAGGACCCGTGAAGAATAAGGACCATTAATGCAGGCTACCATGAAGACAGAGTACATTCACGGGTTCCAAAATAATATACAAAGAGTAGAGGTTTTTTATGCAAATTCAAGCAAATAAAATTGAAAATTCATCTTTACCTCCCCCCAAAGAGCAAATAAAAATGAAAATTCATCTTACCCTCCCCTTCCCGCAAAGAGCATTCTGTACACGCCATTGTACATCTTCTTTCACATAACAGTACATCTTGGAGATCTTTCAGGACACAGAGCATTCCTTGTTCTTTTTTTCCCCAAGTGCATAATATTCTATTGTATGGTTGGTGTTGCATAGTACATAATAATTTATTTGTCCAGTCCCCTGTGGATGGATGTCTGCTACATTCGCATTCTTGGGCAGTGATAAGCATTGCTGTAATGAATCCTAAATGTGGCTTGCCCAGATTTTATCTGTAACATCAGTGCCCACAAGTGAAACTGCTGGGTCTAGCGATAGATGCGTATGTGATTTTGGTAGTTTTTGCCCATTTGTTCTTTTTGTGGTTGTATCACTTTACATTCCCAGCAGGTATGTATGTAAATTCCTCTTTTCCAAATAACTTCACTAACAGAGTGGTTTTCAAACTTTGCATTTCCACCAGTCTAGTAAGTGACCAATGGGTAGTTTCTCAGTTACAAGTTACAGTGTTACAAATGTAACAGTGTTACAAGTTACTCAGTTACAAGTAACAGTCAGTTACAAGTGACATTGATTCCTTTTCCTAATTTAAGAACTGTTTTCTTTTTCTATGAACTCTTTATCTTTGCCTATTTTTCATTTTGGTTGCTTTTTTCCATTTCTAGGGGATCGTTCTATATTCGTGATACGAATTGAAAATATTTGGCATCTACGTTTGTCTTCTGGC